AATTATCCGAATACTTGAGAAGGTGTAGTTGTATTTTATGTAAAATGGTTTTGAAATATTTTCGAGCGAATTTTATATCCTCTTATTTTGTCATTTATTGGGGACAATGTAGATTTAATATTTTTCAAATTTATATTTGAATTAAATTTACATTTGTAAATTCAAATGTACATGTGGTGGTTTAATATTCATATCGGTTCACATATGTGTAGAGTTCACATATGTGCCGACTTCACATGTGTGCAGACTTTGTGTGTAGAATTTATATTTAAATCAAATTTACATTTGTAAATTTGTCCAAATGTACATGTGGTGGTTTAATATTCATATCGGTTTACATATGTGTAGAGTTCACATATGTGCACACTTTACATGTGTGCAGATTTTATGTGCAGAATTTATATTTGAATCAAATGTACATTTGTAGATGTGTTCAACTGTATATGTGGTGGTTTAATATTCATATCGGTTCACATATGTGTTGAGTTCACATATGTGCACACTTTACATGTGTGCAGACTTTATGTGCAGAATTTATATTTGAATCAAATGTACATTTGTAGATGTGTCAACTGTACATGCGGTGGTTCATTATTCATATCGGTTCACATATGTGCAGACTTCACATATGTGCAGATTTTAAGTATGATGTACTTTTGATAACCATATTTGTTCCGGAAGAAAACAAGAGAGAAATGTATGTCCGTTTGAAAATGGACACGTTAATTCGAATATTTGTCAAAATAAAATGTCTCCAATAGAAGCGACTCCGCGGTTTCTTTCCTTTGTGATTTATAGGTTTGTAGACAATGAATTACACGCAGTTTCTCCATCGCCCCTCGGTGATAATTCTCAAAAAACCAGCAATATTTCACGTTTCAGACAGACAAGAATATGCGTGACATCGTCTATCTGTTTCAATCTTTCGTGCACCACTTGTCTTTGCCAGGTGTCGTTCAACCCCTAAACATCAAGTATCCTGCAGGGAACGAGATAAAATATGCCCTCAAGAAATGTTTCCTATATATCACTCTTATAATATATACTGACAAGATGGATATAAAATTAACCCCTGCTTTTCACGAGTCTGACATTCTTTTCAACCCTCCACACACATTTTCATCTACTATTCAGAAATCCCCAAATTTCCAGTTTCCTAAATTCCTAAATTTTCTAATTTCCAAATTCTCAAATTTCCACTTTCCCAAATTCCTAAATCCCCAAATTTCCACTTTCCTAGATTTTAAAATTTTCAAATTTCCACTTTCCCAAATTCCTAAATCCCCAAATTTCCACTTTCCTAGATTTTAAAATTTTCAAATTTCCACTTTCCCAAATTCCTAAATCCCCAAATTTCCACTTTCCTGAATTCCTAAATCCCCAAATTTTTACTTTCCCAAATTCTAAAATTTTCTAATTTCCAAATCCTCAAATCCTCATTTTCCCAAATTTCCACTTTTCCAAATTTCCACTTTCCCAAATTTCCACTTTCCCAAATTTCCACTTTCCCAAATTTCCAATTTCCCAAATACCCACTTTCCCAAATTTCCACTTCAATTCTAAAATTTTCTAATTTCCAAATCCTCAAATCCTCATTTTTCCAAATTTCCACTTTCCCAAATTTCCACTTTCCCAAATTTCCACTTGCCCAAATTTCCACTTTCATTTTAAATTTCAAATTTCACAAATTCCCAGCCTATTTAATTTTTAATTTATCAAACTTTCAATTCGCTATATTAATTCCACAAATTGTCAATTTCACCAAAACCCGGCAGAAATCAACCCTCTGTTCAAAACACATAAATCATTCCTATAAAATCGTGTCGCAAGATCATAAAATGCTCGAAAATAGTGCAGGGTTTAACAAAATTCCCTTAACGATCCCATAACCAAACAGTATGATCCCCTGATACGGTGCACCGTCAGAGATGCTAAAATTTATGAACGACCAGCCATTATACGGCATCGACTCGCAAAGTATTAACTCTGTTAAAACGACGTGCTAAATGAAACTACCCGTAAGCCACGTCGTTGTTATTCGCCCTCGGCCTATGGCTATCGATCCTCGATTCATCTTGTTCGCCGAAGATAATCAACTTTAAACTGCGAGCAAATATTTATCTCCTTAATTGAATTACTTTCGGAACCTTTGTGTAACTTCAGGCACTATGATTTTGATGCTAAACTATTAATGTTGCAATTTTAGTTACTTGTGTATGGAAAGTATTTTTTGATGAGTTGAAATATTTTTTTTAAGGTAGAAAATTGATGTAAGTTATGATTGAGAGTAAGAGAATATTCTGCAAGTTAGGAAGGTATAAATTATTGAATTTGAGAATTTAGTTAAGGGTTTGTTCATTGGGGATGATTTATTTTTATATTTATTGAAATTGGCAGTTGTTATTATGAAAGAGAATATAAAGGGTAGTTAATACACTTACACAAATTTAATAAGATTTTTAATAAAATTTGTCAGTAATATTTTTTCTCCACAGAAATTTTTTTCAAGTTAAATTTTTATCTCCCAAAATCTTTCTCTCAATTTATGTATTATAACTTGCATTACAACTCATATTAATTTAAATTTCTATTACAGTGAATTTTTTTGAAATTATGGTCTTACGTTTCAACATCCCCCAAAATAGTTCTTTCATTCGTACGATATTGAATCATCCGCTGTTTGTAGGTTTGAGTTCCGCGAGAAAGGGAAGATTCATTCTCTGAATCATGCATCTGCAAGGGTTGAACGACCGAGTGGAGAAACCACGTGGAATCAGGGACGATCCGTTTCTGAGCACGAATTGCTCACCACCGCAAAAATTCTCTCGAACACCGCTCATTGTTCTCGTTCCTTTGTCCGAGGCCGCGAAACATTTCGTAATTAGTAACAATGCCTGCCGGCTAAACAAAGATTATTGAACGGCGAAAATTCTCTGGGGACTTCGGCGGATGAAACCCCAGACCGTTAGCCGGTGGTCGGGGAAACAAATGGGACCGGAAAGGGGTTGAAGAAGAAGATGGATTTCTTTAACGAGGCTGGACTTTAATTGCGAGTCACCGTAATTGCGGAAACCGCATACGGATTTATGAAACCAACCCTTCCCCGTTTCTATTTTCCCCTTCTACTCTCAGATTTTAAATTGGAGATTAATAATAGGAGAGATGAAATTCAAATTATTTCTTATTTAATCATTCGTATTTGTTCAGTATATTTACGAATTCACTATTTTTTACTTTACTTTACTTTATTGGTTCTCTTCATAAAAGAAGAGGTCGTGTTGGAGACATTTCCCAATATGCCCTACACTATTTTTCAGAAGTATACAATTTCTGAATAGTAGGTTTTCAGTGTTTAGAATTTGGAGAATTTAGAAATTTGGGAGAGTGGAAATTTGGAGATTTGGGAATTGGGAAATGTAGAAATTTGAGAGAGTGGAAATTTGGGGATTTGGAATGTAGGGAATTTGGAAATGAAGGAATTTGGAGTATAGGAAATTTGGAGACTAGGGAATTTGGAAACTAGAGAATTTTGCAAACTGGGAAATTTGGAAACTAGAGAATTTTGGGAATAGGAAATTTGGAGACTAAGGAAATTTGGAAACTAGAGAATTTTGAGAATAGGAAATTTCGAGACTAGGGAATTTGGAAACTAGAGAATTTTGGGAATAGGAAATTTCGAGACTAGGGAATTCGGGGACTAGAGAATTTGGAAACTAGGGAATTTGAAATCTATGGAATTTGCAAACTAGGGAATTTAGGGAATAGGAAATTTGGAGGATAGGGAATTTAGAAACTAGGGAATTGGAATTTAGGGAATTTGTGAAACATAAAATTTAGTATTATATCTGAAGATTTTTAAACCTGTAAACATGAAAATTTGCAAACTTGATAACTAAAACTTTCAGGATTTTAGAAATTTTGAAAATTAAAAAATTCCAAAAATCATAAATTGTAAAATTATAAAATTCCAAAAATCATAAATTGTAAAATTAAAAAATTCCAAAAATGGCAAATTGAAAGTTTTCAAAATTTCTATATCTTTACCACAAATAATCGTCACCGAAACCAAGTTCTCGAAAATGGTTCGCAACCCTATCAATTACGTTTACGATCCAATAAATTCATTGAATGCATCCTCAGCAAACGGTTCGCGAATTTCGTTTTTCTCTTTCGTTCCACGTCGCGATCAGACGTATTAATATTTCTTCGAGAGGTCGTTCCACGTTGTGGTCAGAATTTAGTTGCAGACGTGTAGGGCTGCATGCAGTGGCGCGTGCAAAAGGGAGCAGGAAGAAAAACCGGCGAACGCACGACACACGGGCCACTCGTAGCCCGGACCGCAAGCTTTTCGAGTGTTTTCGCATCTAGGGTTTTTTTTCTACCCTCTTCCCCTGAAGTTCACTTGCGACCCAGTAATTATCGTCAACCACCATGCTCCAGTTACGACGACGGGGTTTCTTCTACCTGCCATTCGGTTACTTGACTTTTTAATTTTACCTCTTTTTATTTTTATAAGAGAAATGGGTATTAATTTTTTCCCTGCGTGTTCAATTTCTTGCGACCATGCGCAGTTCCGTGGAAAAAGGGATGTTTGGTTGTGGGGGGATGTTGGTCGTGGACGTGTTGAATTAGGAGAGGATGCTGGAGATATTTTTGGATATTGTTTGAGGACTTTGAAGTTGGAAGATTTTAGAAAATTTTGAAACTTGGAAACTAGATGATTTGGGAATTAGTTGATTTGTTTTCAATTGAACTTGAAAACTAATTCAACCCCAAGTAATAAACTTATTACAAGTTACTACTTATTACCTAACTTTACCTTGCACTTACATGTTCACAACGTTATAAGTCACACTTTAAAGTAAATTCTACAGTACATTTTTTATATCAATCACTCTCCCACGAAGTCACACGCTAAGTTGCTTTGAATAATTAATATAAATATTATACTTTGAATTATTAATGTTAATATAAATTAAATAATAATTTGGTTTGTCCAGGATTGTCCAGGAGAGCAGAAGGACTTCCGAGCAGAGCAATGCGCCGAATTCAACAGCGTACCTTTCGAGGGAGCCTACTACGAGTGAGTATGAAACACGAAAAACGTCTCTATGTCGCGTTCCGTCTGCCTGTCGCTATGGAAATATCGCGATGCGCACCCGATTGAGTTTCTCGATATGCGACCAATGCGATTTATCGGTGACATCGTGCCCCATCGATGCGTTCTGGTCTTCTCACCGATCACACCGACAACATCTAATGGCCGTTCGACGTTCAAATTCGTCTAGTTCGAAATACGCATGCTGGTCAATTTATGACGATATATTTTTGTTTTCCTATTTGCACGATAACATAGCTACTGTTGGAAGATTAAAATTAGAAGAAATTTCAAGGAGAATATTTTATGAAGTTATGTTGAGATGATTCTGAAATTTGATGGGGTTGTTTTCTTAAATAGAACTGTATATTCTTTGTATATTTTTTACAGATTGATTCTTCGAATATTTTGTTAAAAAGTACTGAGATGAAGTGTTAGAGGAAACAATTCATGGATTATTTTCAATTTTTGATTAAAGTATCAATTTACTTACAATGCAGGTTTTTAATTGGAGTTAGACAAGTTTTGCTCTTAGCTTTGAACCCAGACAATCTTTCAGCTTTTCAGCTTTTCGTACTTAGACAGTACTTGGATCAGTAATAAATTGTTTAATAAATAAGTCCAAAATATTTTACAAAAATGAAGTAGTCCAAAAAACACATAGTCAAATTAAAATTTGGAATTCTTATGTCACCGTAATTAAAAGAATATCAAATAAAGAATACATACATACGTGACCTTAATCGAAAGAAGAAGAAAATGGAACTGTTAAAAATGTTCCATTACCTCGAAAACGATGAAAGGAATCCTGCAATTGCAGAAAATCCCCTAAGAACCCATCGAAATTCCACGCGAGATCCCCTCGTTACCCGAAGAGATCGACGATCGTCAGATCAGATCGGTTTCAATGGTGAAACTAATCGTGCGAAATCGTTCGCAGTTGGATCCCCTACACCGGTGGGCCGAACAAGTGCGAATTGAATTGCATGCCCCGTGGCGAGCGTTTCTTCTACAGGCACAAATTGATGGTGGTCGACGGTACACCATGCGAATCGGAGAAGAACGACGTTTGCGTCGGGGGCAAATGCATGGTGAGCCAATGTGTTTCTTTCGAAAATTATTTCATTTGCATTTATTGCATGTGATAGACTTTTGTCTTATTACGACAAATTTTCAATAAAAGTTTCGACAAACATTTCATTTAAACTTTAATTTAATTGAAGATAACCAAAGTTTTAAACTAATCTTGTTTAAATTTGATTTTACAATAATAGGACTCAACTAACGTGACATACTTGATTTGACTGATATAATCTTACTTGACATATCATGATATAATTTAATCTAATCTGATGTAACTGGACCATAATCTGTTCTAATTTAATAACCCAATGTGATCTAAGATTATGTAACATCTTTTCATTTATCTTAATCAAACCTAACCCTATGTAACATAAACCAATCTAATGTAACGTAACTAAGATTAATCTAATCTAATTTAACCCTTTAATCATTGACACTAACGTAGACTAATCTAGCCTTATCTAATATAAACTAACCTAATATAACATAAATAAAACTAACTTAATCTACCCTAACCCTTTACCTAATATAAACTAACCTGATCTAACCTAACTGAAACTCATCTAATCTAACCTAACCTAATCTAACCCAATCCAATAATCTGACATAACCTAATTTAATTTAACTGAATCTGACCTAACCCTATCTAATCACAAAGTAATCACAAATTACAATTTTACATCTTACATTGCAAATATCTTATGTATGAATTATCTGAATTTAAGTATAGAGTCGAAGAGAACTCTTGTTTTTATTAGGGTTAAAGTTCAAATAAAGAGTATTTCTTTTACCAGCACGTTGGATGCGATATGATGCTGGGAAGCGATGTGAGGGAAGATGCTTGCAGAGAGTGTGGCGGAGACGGGTCAAATTGCAACACCGTTTCCGGTTTGTTCGACACCGACGATCTGCAAGCAGGTACATTACAATTTTTCATCAACTATGGAATAACTCATATTATATATACTTGTATGTAAACACCTTCATACAGATATTCATCGTACTTCACTCGTAATTAATTAAAATTTCAATCATTCATTGGTACAATTATTGGTACAATTATTCTTCATCTTATAATTTTAATTTTTTAAATTCTGCAATGTTCTTACTTTCATTTACTCATTTTTATTCTTCATCTTCTAACCTTAATTTTGTGGTCTCTACAATATTTTCACTTTCACATTTATTATTTTTTTTTCACTTTTACATGCAAGAAAATTGAATTTTATTATTTTTAAAAGTCCAGTCTTGTAATCACTGTTATTCAGTTTTTGATGCAAATGAACAACTGAACTATTAATTTCAGTTCAAGTGTAATCGTACTTTACAGGGTACATCGATATCATACTGATTCCCAAGAGCGCCACAAACATCGTGATAAAGGAACTAGAACCATCGAACAATTACCTGGGTTAGTGAAACAAATGCAGGACATAAAGGTGTTTCGTATTCGAATAGATGATAAAGTGTTTTATATTCACAGCGATTAGAAATACCACCGGATACTACTATTTGAACGGAAACTGGAGAATAGATTTTCCACGTAGCTTGAAGTTTGCTGGATCCATATTCCATTATTCAAGGGACCCTCAAGGTTTCTCGGCACCGGACACCATCACTGCCTTGGGACCTACCAGTGAGCCAATTTACGTGGTGGTGAGTATTCTGTTTTTAATTAGTGAATTATATTGTGAAGAAAATGTAAAGAAGCAGTATTTTTGGATATTGGAGAGATTTCTGATAATATGTTTCCTTTTCCAAATTTTAAAATTATTAAATTTTCACTGTTTCAAATTTCTAAATTTTCCAATTCTCAAATTCCCAAATTCCGGAATTTTCCAATTCCCAGGTCTCCGAATTTCCACTCTCCCAAATTTTCAAATTCCCATATTTCCACTTTCCCAAATTCCTAAATTTTCCAATTCCCAAATCCCCAAATTTCCATTCTTCCAAATTCTTAAATTTTCCAATTCCCAAATCCCCAAATTTTCACTCTTCCAAATTCCTAAATTTTCCAGTTCCCAAATCCCCAAATTTCCACTCTCCCAAATTTCTAAATTTTCCAATTCCCTAATTTCCAAATTTTCACTCTCCCACTTTCCTAAATTTTCCTATTCCCAAATCTCCAAATTTCCACTCTTTCAAATTTCTAAATTTTCCAATTCCCAAATCTCCAAATTTCCACTCTCCCAAATTCCTCAATTTCCCAATTTCCAAATTCCCAAATTTCCACTCTTCCAAATTCTTTAATGTTGAGTTCATCAAGACGCCAAATTTCCATATCTCCAAATTTGCAATTACCAAAATTTCCAAAGCCCCTATATTACTAAATTTCCAATTTTACAAAGTACCAAATTTCCAATGCTCAAAATTTGCACAAGTTTAAACTTATAAATTTCCAAAATTCTAAACACTGAAGTCATAACATTTCCAAATTCCTTCAATTACTCAAATTTCTCAATTTTCTCACATTTTTTCAATTCCTCAAATTTCTCAAGTTTTTCAAGTTTGTAAAATTTCTTAAATTTCTAAAAATTTCAAATTGCTTAATTTTCTCAAATTTTTCAAAATTCCTTATTTCTCCAATTTCTTCAATTTCTCAAATTTCTCAAATTTCTCAAATTTCTTAAAATCTCAAATTTTTTCAATTTCTTCAATTTCTTCAATTTCTCAAATTTCTCAAATTTCTCAAATTTTTTCAATTTCTTCAATTTCTTCAATTTCTCAAATTTCTCAAATTTCTGCAATTTCTTAAAATTCTCAAACTACCCAAATTCTCAAATTATAGTTCTCAAGCACCAAAAACTCCATCCTCGAAAAGTCCCTATTACCCCCTACACTCCACATTTCCCATCGTAGCCCCAGAGCTATTTTGCACTCACCTAATCTACTCCATCTCCAAACTTCGTTATCAACCGCGTATAACCAAAATTTACGTGTATTGTTTCGTACAGTTATTGTACCAGGACCACAACGTCGGCGTGCATTACGAATACAGTATACCAAAAAGAATTTCGCAGCAAACGGACGCTGACAGCTACGCTTGGATAACCGATGAATTTTCCAGCTGCAGTTCCTCGTGCGGAGGAGGTAATATTTCCAAAATTAATCACGTTGCCTAAACCGACGGTGAATGTAATTAATAATCGGACGAGCTGTATCGTGTTCCAAATTTGATAGGGCAATTTGCGAGCGATCGATGCCCCTAGATTCGACGAACGTTTATTAATTAATATGCTTCTCATTCGACGCACGCCGAACGGATCATTCTCTGTCCATCGTCTGTTCAATTATCAGATCGATAAGTGGCTTATTAAATTTGTAGCTTGTTAACTGTGCCACTTCATAAACTTCCGTATTTCTTTGTTCGTTTTATAACGATCTTATTATATACTGCTTCATTGTTACTCGTATCTGATATTGTATTTGCTCTTTGTATTAAATTTTATATTGTCTTCATATTTCATGCTTCAACCATTCATGTTATAATTATTGTTCATACTTGATGTTTTAGTTCATTGTCTACACATGATGTTAAAGTCCTTGTTCATACTTAATGTTGCAGTATGTAGTTGCTCATACTTCATGTTATAGACATCCTTCATACCTGATGATTTAGTTTATTGTTCATACTTGATGCTACAGTATGTAGTTGCTTATACTTGATGTTAAAGTCATTCTTCATACTTGATGTTTTAGTTCGTTGTCCACATATGATGTTAAAATTATTGTTCATACTCAATGTTGCAGTATGTAGTTGCTCATACTTCATGTTATAGACATCCTTCATACCTGATGATTTAGTTTATTGTTCATACTTGATGCTACAGTATGTAGTTGCTTATACTTGATGTTAAAGTCATTCTTCATACTTGATGTCTTAGTTCATTGTCCACACATGATGTTAAAATCCTTGTTCATACTTAATGTTACAGTATGTAGTTGTTCATACTTCATGTTATAGACATCCTTCATACCTGATGATTTAGTTTATTGTTCATACTTGATGCTACAGTATGTAGTTGCTCATACTTGATGTCAAAGTCATTCTTCATACTTGATGTTTTAGTTCATTGTCCACATATGATGTTAAAATTATTGTTCATACTTAATGTTGTAGTATGTAGATGCTTATACTTGATGTTTTAATTCATTGTCTATACATGATGTTAAAATCCTTGTTCATACCTAATGCTACAGTTTGCCATTCATACCTGATGTTCCAATAAACTCATACATAACATCAAGTAAAACTTTGTTAGCCATCAACATAATAAAATTTTGGTCATTTAAATAGCAGAGTAGGAGACAATTTATAGGTAGAATTAAAGAATTGGTTACATGGAGGCACGTATGTTAAGTTAGCAATAAATTTGTGCCTATGGGCTCGGTTAGCAACGAGAGATTGCTCACCTTCGTGACTTATGTACCGTTTAACCCTTTCGGTAGAACAGAGGCTGTTATTTGTTACTTTATATATGACCAGCCATATATTACTGCAAGTAGTGACTATACTCGATCTTCGGACCAACATGACGCTCAAAAGCCAATAATTGTAGTCATTAGTCTTACCACGAGTGCTTTTAAACAAAATGTTTATTAGTGATAAAAATAATTTTCTTTCAACCATAATGCAACTCCCTTTGTATGCATATGTGTAGGTACATGTATGTATGTATATGTATATTGTACGCATACATATGTGGATTTCTATATGTGGAGAAATATAGGGTTTCAAGTAGTAATAGATTAATCGAGTTCATAAGAATGATCAAGTATTAAGCAATTTTTGTGTTAAGGAAATATTTTAGAATATGGGATTTATGACTTTTCTGTGATATAAATTATATTTCACCTTGAAAGTTAAATATATCATATTTCATCTTGACGATATTTCTTAGATATTTCTTAATTACATTCTAACACTAAACCTACATATGAATACCAATGTCGAAGACAAGGTTGAAACGTCAATAATATTATTTTGATACATTGTCACTTAGTTTGAAATAATCTGTTAAAGGTTACCAATCGAGACGAATAGCCTGTGTGCGAAGAAGAGACAGCCAACCCGTGGATGAGAGCCTCTGTGATCCACAGATGGAACCGGACGACACTCAGGCTTGTAGCCCAGAGCCTTGTCCACCTGTGTGGGTGGAGGGCGAGTGGAGTCCTTGTAGCAAACACTGCGGGGAAGGAGGTGAACAGCAGAGGGAGATCAAATGCGAGCAGGTCATCTCTGGAGGAATCCCTACGGTGGTGGACGATAGTCAGTGTCTGGAGAAGGTGGGACCAAAAGGACCGACTAGCCAGGAGTGTAACAAGGATGTACCGTGCCCTCAGTTTCATGTTGGTCCATGGAAACCGGTATGTATCCTTTAACTTAAGTGTCTTTCCACTTGGAAATTAAGTCACATATCAGAGCATACACATATTAGGATTTTAGTAGTGATGTATTTAAACCACGCTTGATCAGAACAAATAGAAGCAAAGTGAGAATTTTAGAAGTGATGGAATTCTCATTTAATTTTGAGTCCATCATTCAAACCTCTCTTCGTTCTCTTACACTGTCTTGGGAACAAAGATATTTGTTGTCTTCTCTTTGCATCGTATCTTGGGTATATTATTATTCTTCACATGTGAAATTTTTGTTGTAACAGTGCGACCATTTGTGCGGCCCTGGCAAACAAACTAGGAGAGTGACCTGTTATAAGAAGGTAGAGGGCAAGATCGAGGTCCTGGAGGACGATGCCTGCGAGGGAGAGGTTCCAGAACGTGAGAAACCTTGCGAATTGAGACCCTGTGCTGGTCTCGACTGGGTCACTTCGGACTGGAGTGGTGTAAGCAATTTTCACTTCCATTCAAACCATTTTCTACATTTTCATTATTGCTTAACTGAAAATCTTGTGCCTTCTCCTGTTATTAATAATAGAATTTTAAGTTTCAAGATTGACAATCTTATGCTCTGAAGGTTTAATTTTTCATTTTTCATTGTAACTTCAGGAACGTTAAGTTTATTAGTATCAAGATATCAAGTTTTACTTTAATAGCAAAATATTTTTCTTTCACATATCAGTGTTCTATATTATAACATTCATTGAGTGACTTCTTCACTGCATAGTGTGACGATAGATGTGGTCTGACACAAGAAACAAGAACGACCCACTGTGCCACTCAAGACGGTACCGTTTACCCAGACGAAAAGTGCGACCCCGAAAAGAAGCCAGAATTGAACCGCGAATGCGAGAGCAAGAAAGAGTGCGACTTCCTTTGGTTCGCCTCCCAATGGAGCGATGTAAGACCAACATTACCACATAAATATCCTCAACTATAAACTAGCACAAAGATCACAATTTCACAAAGTACCTCTAGATTCAAAAAGTAGATTACCATGCTCCTAAAGTAGTCCACAAATTTATCTTCATAAAGTAGATTGCGTATCTCCGTTGATAAAGTACATCTACGTTCATAAGATTACAGATCGTGAAGTAGATCAGAAATTAATTTGCATCGTAATGACAATTTGTGTTGAAGTGCTCCGCCAGCTGTGGCTCCGGTGTGCAAACACGTAAAGTGTTCTGCGGAACTTTCGACGACGAAACGGTGAAGAAAGTACCTGACGAAAAGTGTGACGCGAGCAAGAAATTCAACGACACGAAGAACTGTACCGCTGAAGAAGAGTGCAAAGGTGAATGGTTCGCTGGTCCATGGAGCAAGGTAATTTATTTTAAATAACTTGCTGCTTCACTCTTCGTTTCTTCTGCAACGAGAATTTTTACCTGAACTTCAACATAGCTCTCTTTATTCCACAAGTGTTTATTTTATATTTAACTTCATTTTATGTATATTAATTTTGGCGTGAATGGTGCCTTAGATATTTCATCTGCAAATTTCAAATACATAAATGTTTAATAATCCAGAAATTTTTCTGACATAGTCAAAATCGTTTTACTAAAATATTTTATTTCATCCTGTCACATTTACCTGTTGCCTTGAAAAGTAATATAACACTTGAGAATTACACAAAGCAATAGAAAAATAAAGTTTATTATTAAATTATCTACTATAATTTTCCTATTATGTACTGCTATTGTATCCTGAGCTTCTTGTGGATTTTATGTATGGTTGCTGATTATGCAGCAGGTTCAAACATGTTTATAGTAAAATTTTTGACGGCAATGTAAGAGAATCTTGTCGAGATGTTCTCGAGGAATACGTTCCCTGGTTCGTCGAAGAAATTCAATATCTTCGACGGCTTTGCAACGAGCCTAGCAAGAAGCGTCCGCCTCAAATTTCTTCCATTAATCACCTTACCATGTTGCAGTGCTCGAAACCGTGCGGCAGCGGCATGATGAGCCGCAAGGTGATTTGCATGAAGGACAACGTGACGGTCTCGACAGGCTGCGACGCAAGCACGATCATGTTCGCCACGGAAAATTGCAATGATCAACCTTGCGAAGAAGGTGATGCTCTTAAGCTAATGCAAATTTCATCGAACATCGCAAATCACTTAAAAATTAATCCGAAACTTGATCAAAACATGCTGATGTACAAATATTTGCTGTAATGGCAGAATGTTAGAAGTTATTGTTCAGCCTTGCAAATGTTTAATTTTTAGAGTACTTTAATCTTTAATTTAAATTTACAATTTGCACCAGTCATTTGGAAATTAGGTTGCATATCAGAGCATACACGTATTAGAATTTTAGAAGTAGTGATGTATTCGAACTACACTTGATCAGAACAAATGTGTACAAATAAAAGCTACAGCAAAGTGAGAACATTAGAAGTGATAGAATTCTCGTTTAATTTGGAATAAATTTAAACTTGCAATGTATAAATGTAACTGTTCTCAGATGAGGTAATACCAGTTCAACCGGACAAGATCAAAGACCTCACTGACGAGGACGAGGAATGTGAAGTGTACGAGGATGAAGACTTTGTTACTGTTTCTTCGAGTTTCGCAGCTAGTGTACGTCGACATTTTTCCTTTGCTTTATATATTACATATGTATCAGTAATAAACACATGAACATATTACATACGTGCCACATATATTACATATGTGTTAGTAACACATATATGAACATATTAAATACATATCACTTGCAAATATATGATCATATTATATATGTGCCGCATACATATATGCACATGTTACATATGTATCACTAATAAACACATGAACATGTTACATATGTATTACTAACACATACATGAACATATTAAATACATATCACTTGCAGTTATATGAACATATTAGATATGTGCCATACACATATATGCACATGTTACATATGTATCACTAATAAACACATGAACATGTTACATATGTGTTAGTAACACATATATGAACATATTAAATACATATCACTTGCAAATATATATACATAATAAATACGTATCACTCTCAAATTATTTTATTTTCTTTCCAGGACAAATCCAGCGACGACTCAGACCTGACAGAGGCAACACCCTTGAGTTCGCCAGATACCAGGTCATCCACAGCGAGCGACATATACGATTTGATGCCCGGCGATGGTCCGAAAACCAGAAGCGACATACCTCCCGGGGAGACGGGAAGTGGCGAAGGAAGTAGCCCAGATTTCACCGATTTCCTCAGTGGAACGTACACGTCGGAATTCGAGACCACCTTCGAGGGTAGCGGAACAGACGAGACGACGGAAGAGGGTGAGTCCACGACCGGAATCACGGAATCCGAGGTCACCGACGAAACTGTCGAGGGATCGACCATGGGTTCCACCGACGACTCGACTATTGAGATATCAGGGACACTTTCTTCCGGTGGTGAGTTTATTTTTCACTAAAAGATCGCTGCATGAATTCTTGTTATAAAATTGAAAGAAATTTTTTGTTTTGCAGAGAGATAAATGTTGATATTCGAAATATATGGATATTATTATCGATCTTTTCTAATGTGCTATTGTGTTTCAGATGTTTGAAAGATTATATTGATTTTATTGTCTTAATATTAAGAGGCCTCAAAAGTTTCTTTTGTTTGTTTATACAATATGTAATTTAATTAAAGTTATATATGTGACGTTCACATGTGACCACAGTGAAAATTCATGTGTGTGGTCAGACACTTTATAATACATATTATTAATAGTAGTTATACTCACTCTTTTAATCTGTTAGCATCATTGTCAATATTAAGAGTCCTCAAATTTTAATTGATCATCATGGCAGTCAAATCGAGTTTCATTACAAAAAGAACTTTATTTTCCTTCTTTCTAAAAAAATTACGACAATTCATTCAGGTCTCAGATATAGAATAATTCCAGCAGTCAAATTTCTGGAAAAATTTATTTACTTCAGAAACTGATGAGACAACTGAATCCGGTATGACGGATTCGAGCGATCTAACTTCTGAGTCATCGGAATCGACAAGTTCTTCCGAAAGTGGAGCCACAGAAGAAAGTACAGTTTCGTCGATGACGGAATCGACGGAAACGGAAGTAACCGGGTCGTCTGAGTCCACAGAATCTGGTCCAACTACATCTTCTTCAGAAACTGAGAGCACCGTCACTCAAGAATCTGGTAAGTGAAATTTAAGTTTGTCTTCCTTTAATATTGATGCTTCCATTTTGTGTTATCAAAGGAAAATTTCTTTGAAGAACATTTTATTAGTGATGCAAGGTATTAGTTTGAAAATTGTATGCTTAATTAGTCTTCATTACATATGTGTAAAGTTCAGCACTCATATGTTCTATTACTACATATATATTTTGATGCACATGTGTTCTTTTATTACACATTTATTTTATTACACATGTCTTTTATTACACATGTGTATTTGTTATTACATATGTATCTTACTACTCATGTGTTCTATTATTACATATGAATTTTACTACACATGTGTTCCATTGCTACATATGTATTTTGCTACTCATGTGTTCCATCACTACACATATACTTTACTACACATGTGTTTTATGAAGTTAATTCATAATCTCAGCGCTAAAGTTTGCATTAAACGATAATTATTTAGTTTAATCCAAAAGTGTCTTTTCTCCAAAAAATAATACTATCTTATCTGTAAAATTCGAAAACGTCACTTTTATCCTTAACTTTAAAAGTATTACTAAATTGATGTATCACTATTGATACATCGAACATGTCCCTACTTCTGATATCGACTTTATAAATTTCGCTATCAGCTTTCAACATGAGTCTCTAAAAACTTAAAACAGAATCAACCATATTGGAGTCATCCACTGTAGAAGGAAGTACCGAATCGGGTGCTACCGAAGGATCCACCGAATCAGGAGCCACAGAAGCATCAGAGCCCACAGAGGTATCAGGCACCGAGGAATCCACAGAATCTGGAGCTACAACAGAGTCTGGAGCCACAGAAGCAACGGAATCTGGAGCAACAACCGAGACCACTGAATCTGGTCTCACGGAGACTACCAATTTTACTACACATGTGTTCCATTGCTACATATGTATTTTGCTACTCATGTGTTCCATCACTACACATATACTTTACTACACATGTGTTTTATGAAGTTAATTCATAATCTCAGCGCTAAAGTTTGCATTAAACGATAATTATTTAGTTTAATCCAAAAGTGTCTTTTCTCCAAAAAATAATACTATCTTATCTGTAAAATTCGAAAACGTCACTTTTATCCTTAACTTTAAAAGTATTACTAAATTGATGTATCACTATTGATACATCGAACATGTCCCTACTTCTGATATCGACTTTATAAATTTCGCTATCAGCTTTCAACATGAGTCTCTAAAAACTTAAAACAGAATCAACCATATTGGAGTCATCCACTGTAGAAGGAAGTACCGAATCGGGTGCTACCGAAGGATCCACCGAATCAGGAGCCACAGAAGCATCAGAGCCCACAGAGGTATCAGGCACCGAGGAATCCACAGAATCTGGAGCTACAACAGAGTCTGGAGCCACAGAAGCAACGGAATCTGGAGCAACAACCGAGACCACTGAAACTACGGAGTCTGAAATGACAGAGTCTGGAATGACTACGGAGTCTGGTATGACTACCGAGTCTGGAATGACTACTGAATCTGGAATGACTACGGAGTCTGGTATGACAACAGAGTCTGGAATGACTACGGAGTCTGGTATGACAACAGAGTCTGGCATGACAACGGAGTCTGGAATGACAACGGAATCTGGAATGACTACCGAGTCTGAAATGACAGAGTCTGGAATGACAACGGAATCTGGAATGACAACAGAGTCGGGAATGAGTACGGAGTCGGGAATGACTACCGAATCGGGCGAAACCACAGTAGAAGCTAGTACAGTTTCCGGAGAAACTACGGAGTCTGGAGCAACGACCGAAAGTGGTGAAACCACTGTGTCTGGAGCTACCGAAACAACCGTTTCTGGACTGACGCCAGTAACCGAGGAGGAAGAGACTGAGATGACCGAGAAAACTCACAGTAAGTTTCTAAAATGACTTCCATAGTTAGCTTCAAATATAATTGACTTCATTTTGTTGAATAATGCTTATCCCTGAAGTACCATGACAGACTCAGATGTTATTTTAAGAAGGTTAAATCTATATTTTTTCTTCTCAAGATTGAATATGTTGTCATTAGCATTTTTAGTTTTTAGTTTAATTGTTGACACTTATATCACCTTAGATCCATGTGAGAACCCTAACAAATCAAGTAAAAATAAATATGATGAAGCCTCGTACATCAAACTCCAATAACACATCATGAGATTTCATCCATCACTCACAATGACTAAGGGTTAAATTGTATCATAAACAACCTCTGACCACCTATCTAACTTATCTATTACACCTATCAACTAATTTTGATTGTTATCAGTATCTGAGATCTGGACAACAGTCAGTCCAGAAGAGACAACTCGCAAACGCCGCATATGCAAGGTACCCAAAAAGAAGAAGACCTGCAAGACCTCGCCCTTCGGCTGCTGTTACGACGGAGTCACTGCAGCAGAGGGTCCCTTCGATCAAGGCTGTCCCACACCACACACCTGCAACGAGACCAAACACGGTTGCTGTCCAGATGGCGTGTCACCAGCTACTGGTCCAGATAATCAAGGATGTCCTGAGACCCACTGCGACGAAACTTTATTCGGTTGCTGTCCTGATGGAGTCACTGCTGCCGAGGGCAACGACAACGAGGGATGCACGAAACCTTGCAATGAAACAGAGTTAGTTCACGCTATTGTTAAACATTTTGAGAAGCATAATGTTAGAATTATCCGTGCAGTTGTCTTTCGTTAACTTTACTTCGTCAAAAGACAGATGCAGAACAGATGCAATTTTTAAAACTGTGTCATGCAATCTTTTGAATTATGAAAATATCTATATTTTCCCAACATATGAACACAGAATAAAATTTTTGTATTACTCTTTGATTCAGATTCGGTTGCTGTCCCGACAACGAAACACCATCCAGCGGACCTGACAACCTGGGTTGCTGTAACGTCACAGAGTTCGGATGCTGTCCAGACGGTATCAAACCAGCCACCGGACCGGATGGCGAAGGTACATCATTCGTTTACGACTATGCCCCATATTCCGCGATTTACAGAACGTGTGCTGTATCCATGAATAAATTATAGGTTGCGAACAGGAGGTTACAACTGTATCTCCCGTCACGGATGAATACGAAACAACCACAGTGCAGGAGGACTGCGCGAACAGTACCTATGGATGTTGTCCGGATAGTGTGTCTTTCGCGACGGGACCGAACTTTGATGGATGTGGAGTTATCAATACTGAGAATTGCACTATATCGTACTTTGGATGCTGTCCTGATGGCGTTTCACCAGGTGAAAAGTTTAGAGATTTGGGAACAGGAGTTGAGATTGACGAATTTAGGTTGTGGAGATTTTTGGGTGTAGGGATTTGGAAATTTAGAGATCTCAGGATTTAGGTATTTGTGGATGAAGGTTTAGGAGTGTTAGAGATCTGGAGATCAAGGGATAGGAAAATGTGAGGATTTGGGGGTTTGGAGATTTGGGGATCTGAGGATTTGAGGATCTGAGAATTTGGGGATCTGTGTGTCATGCAATCTTTTGAATTATGAAAATATCTATATTTTCCCAACATATGAACACAGAATAAAATTTTTGTATTACTCTTTGATTCAGATTCGGTTGCTGTCCCGACAACGAAACACCATCCAGCGGACCTGACAACCTGGGTTGCTGTAACGTCACAGAGTTCGGATGCTGTCCAGACGGTATCAAACCAGCCACCGGACCGGATGGCGAAGGTACATCATTCGTTTACGACTATGCCCCATATTCCGCGATTTACAGAACGTGTGCTGTATCCATGAATAAATTATAGGTTGCGAACAGGAGGTTACAACTGTATCTCCCGTCACGGATGAATACGAAACAACCACAGTGCAGGAGGACTGCGCGAACAGTACCTATGGATGTTGTCCGGATAGTGTGTCTTTCGCGACGGGACCGAACTTTGATGGATGTGGAGTTATCAATACTGAGAATTGCACTATATCGTACTTTGGATGCTGTCCTGATGGCGTTTCACCAGGTGAAAAGTTTAGAGATTTGGGAACAGGAGTTGAGATTGACGAATTTAGGTTGTGGAGATTTTTGGGTGTAGGGATTTGGAAATTTAGAGATCTCAGGATTTAGGTATTTGTGGATGAAGGTTTAGGAGTGTTAGAGATCTGGAGATCAAGGGATAGGAGGATCTGAGGATTTGGGGATCTGAGGATTTGGGGATCTGAGGATTTGAGGGTCTGAGGATTTAGAGATCCGAGGATTTGGAGATGCAAGTATCTAGGGATGCAAGAATTTGGTGATGCAAGGATTTTGTAGTGCAAGGATTTGGAGATGCAAGGATTTGGGGATACAGGATTTGGGGATGCAAGGATTTGTGGATGCAAGGATTTGCAGATTTAAGGATTTGAGAATGTAAATAGTTTGCAAAAGTCCTCTACAACACTTGCAACAATTACTAAATTATAATTAACACCTTGTCATATGAAAACAGCATACATTGATTTTATTGCTCAATATAAATATTGAAAATTCCGCAGCTCTCGGTCCCGACAACTACGGCTGCCGCATGGCATGCGACAACAGCACCTACGGTTGTTGCGATGACGGAGTCACCCCCGCACACGGTCCAAACAGAGAGGGTTGTTGTCTCTCCACACCGTACAAATGCTGTCCGGATAATATACTACCCGCACGAGGACCAAACTTCTACGGCTGCGGTTGCCAATACGCGAGATTCGGATGCTGTCCTGACAACACCACAGCCGCACGTGGACCGAATAACGAAGGGTGCGGATGCAAGTACACCCCTCACGGCTGTTGCCCGAACCGTTTCACTCCGGCCACTGGACCGAATTACGAGGGTTGTCCGTGTTACACTTATCAGTTTGGCTGTTGCCCTGACGGTGTCACCATTGCCAAAGGACCTCATGGACAGGGTATTGTTATATTCACATTGTCTGATTGTCACCATTCACCATTCTTTATATTATTATTTCATCACAGTTTTTATCAAATTTTAATGTCTTAATAATTAGTTTAGTTTGAATGATTCAGGTTAGTAAGTAGTCTGAGTGATTTCGTTTAATAAATTTCAATAAAATATTTTTACTTGGGTCATGAAGTTTGTGACTTAAATTAGATAGACAGAAAGTAGATTAATACTGAAAGAGATTAACTCCACTGTACTTCAAAATGCAATTAAAATTGACCATTTTTGAACCTGGTAAAATTCAACCCATGTCTATCAAATTTCTAAAATTTTACAAATTAACAAATGACCTATTTAAACAGTAACTAACCAAGCTCTAAGTATTTTTAACGAACCATCACGTGTTGCTTTTTGATCAGACCTCTTTCGTTCGATCTCTACCATGTAAAGGCATCGAGATTAACTCCGATGCAGTAATTAATATCAATTCCATTTGGATGTCGCAGGTTGCGGTTGCGAGAACACGGAGTTCAAGTGCTGTTCCGACGGCAGAACTCCTGCGAAAGGGCCAAACTTTGCCGGTTGCACTTGCGATACCTCGAAATTCGGATGTTGTCCCGATGGAGTGGAGGAAGCACAGGGAGAGAACTTCGAGGGCTGTCTTACGGTACCGTCGACTCCTGGAGCAGCGTGTGCCCTCGAGAGGAACCGAGGTCCCTGCAGAGACTTCACCATCAAATGGTACTTCGACACGGAGTACGGTGGTTGTTCGCGGTTCTGGTATGGCGGCTGCGAGGGTAACGATAATCGATTCAAGACGCAGGAAGAGTGCAAGGAAGTTTGCGTGCAACCGAAAGGAAAAGGTATAATTATGGTTCTTAAAAAAATTAGGAGTTATGTGATTTTAGTTAAAAATTGAGTGATATGATTTTAATTAAAAATTGATAGATATGATTTTAATTGAAAATTATGAGAAATATGATTTTAATTTAAAATTATGAGTGATATGATTTTAATTGAAAATTAAAAGTTATATGATTTCATTGGAGAGCTATAAGATTTCGTTGTTAATATCCCATTTAATTTTTTACTATTTTGGAGGACGGAAATAAATTAATAATTTTCATTAATACTTCAATAAGTTGAAAACTGATGGAAATTATAATGGTTACAAATTTAACGAGTTTTTTTAATTTCGATAGATGCTTGCTTCCTGCCGAAGATTTCTGGACCCTGCGAGGGATACTTCCCTACTTGGTATTACGACGCTGGCAGAAAACAGTGTGGACAATTTGTGTATGGAGGTTGTCTTGGAAATGCGAACAAATTCAAAACTAGGGAAGAGTGCGAGGAACTTTGCGTTGTACCTGAAGATTTGGGTAAGTTGGGACAGGACGCGCTCGTTATATTGCCGCTTTTAGACAGAGTTTTATACATTGAGGTGCACGGTGAGAGATTCATATAAATTTTTAGCTAATATCTACATATTACAATTTTTTTACCTCTGCAATATGAAAGAAGATTTTCCGAAGAGTTTTATATTGCTAGTGGCAATATAACGAAAGTCTACTGAATTCACTATTTTTCCCATTTTATTATTTTTTGGTGAATAAGTACACATATGAGTACACACATAAGTACACATCATGTGTGCTTATTTCACATGCAATCTTCATTTCAAGCTTTCTAAATAAAAATTGAATATCATATATTGTTACTCTCAGACAACATGCAACTTTTTTTTTCAATATTTTCTAATAAAATTTGTATTGAGGTAACAATTCAATTTACTAATAATTATCAAACAACGTATAAGTCTTTTCGAAATCCCTCATGTTTTATCACTAATTCGATGAACTTTATCAGTCATCATTTTTGTCTTTCATATTTTACTTAGAAACTCATCAGACTTTTGTACCCAGTTTATTAACCATATTACCCAGAAAATTTTTAATAATATTTGCATTCTGTATTATTCAGGTTATCAAAGTCAATGTTATTCAATGTTATTATAATGTTAATAACGTGGAAGCAATATTCATTTCTAGACCCATGTGAGCAACCAAAAGAAGCAGGACCCTGCGAAGGCAACTTCACCCGCTGGTTCTTCAACAGCGAATCCCAAGCTTGCGAACAATTCAGGTACGGTGGTTGCAAATCGAACGACAACAACTTCGCCACAGAGATCGCCTGTCATCAGCAATGTCTGCAACCTGGAAGAAGAAGAGGTACGTTCATCCAACACGTTTATCCCCATTCGAGACACGCACGGATCATGCTCGTTTACTGCTTGAGTTTCCCATCAGTACACACACATTTGAACGTATTACAGAAACGCGGACCATGTGTGACTTCATCCCTCTTGATTTTTGAATGACTTAGTTTTCGTTGAATGTCAAAGTATAGATTAAACTAGATGAGGATACACGATGTAAAGTGGTTTCATGGTTAACATGGAAAGTGGTAAATGGTCAGGATTATAGTGGTAGATGGTCAATGTTAAAATGAAGTGGTAGATGATCAATATTCAAAAGGAAATGGTAGATGGTCAATATTAAAATGAAATGGTAGATGGTCAATATTAAAATAAAATGGTAGATGGTCAATATTAAAATGAAATGGTAGACGGTCAATGTTAAAATGAAGTGGTAGATGGTCAATATTAAAACAAAATGGTAGATGCACAATTTGAAAGCAAAATGGTAGATGCACAATATGAAAGCAAAATGGTAGATGGTCAATGTTAAAATAAAATGGTAGATGATCAATATTAAAATGAAATGGTAGATAGTCAATATTAAAATAAAATGGTAGATGGTCAATATTAAAATGAAATGGTAAATGGTCAAAATTAATATAAAATGGTTATATGGTTAAAATCAAAGTAAAATGGTTATATGGACAAAATCAAAGTAACACAGTTATATGTTCTGGAGTTAGGGTAACTGTGAGGAAAGTGTTAGAGCTACTTATGGGCGAACAGGTCTGTTAAGTTACTATAAAAGAAATAACTCTTTTACAAAAATTATAAAGACAATATTAAAAATCTTTCAATCGAATAAGAGAGTAAATTAAATCACTAAAAGTTTCAAATAAATTCAAGTTTGCCATAAATTTATTCTCAGATATTTAACAAAAAAGAACATTGAATTTGCAGTACATTTTGAGTAAGTTTGACATCAAAAATTTTTACAGATAATTAGTAAAAAATTGTAAATGACCAAGTTATTAATTTAGAAACGTATTACATAATTTCAACCCTCCTCAAAGAAACATCAATTTCAATAACAGCACATTAATCGGCATCAACCATCGTCATCGAACAAAACCTCACAAAAAATCTCCGTAGTAACACGTACAAATATTTGCAGTAAAACTGACAGACGTGTGTGCCCTGGAGAAAGATCCCGGGCCATGTCCGGGCACGGTGTTGCGCTGGTATTATGACGCCAAGCGTCAGAAGTGTAACCGATTTGTTTACGGTGGTTGTAAAGGCAACGCCAATAGATTCCGTACGCTTGCTGCCTGCGAGCAGCGCTGCTCTGTCAAAGGTACCAGTAAAAACAGCGACAGTGAAAAGGAGGATCGAAAAGAACAAGAAAAGAGTTTCGATCGAAGGAAATGTTGAGAAACGAGCTTCTGTGCTTTGTTATCTGAATGAATAGATCGCAAGCTGTAAGGGGTCGTTTCTCGGTGTTGGTGAAACGTTCGTTGTACGTCAGGGTGTGATTTTTTTTTCATAATTTTCTTTGATAATTTTATGTTTGAGTGGTAGAACTTTGAGATGGTTTAAAAATTTTCGAATTATGAAATTTACTAATTTATCAATTTTGTAATCCTTGAATTTATGATTTATTAAATATCCAAGTCCCTAAATCTTAGATTCTTATATTTCTAAGTTCATGAATCTCCTAATTTCTACATTTCTAAACCTTGCGATTTTCCAATTCCTAAATATCCAAATTTGTAAATTTCTAAATTCATGAATTTCTTAATTTATAAATTTCCAAACCCTTAAATCTTCCAATTCCTAAATTCCTAAATTCCCAAATTCCACAATCTCCCAATTCCTAAATTTCAAAATTTGTAAATTTCTAAATTTATGAATTTCTTAATTTATAAATTTCCAAACCCTTAAATCTTCCAATTCCTAAATTCCCAAATCCCACAATCTCCCAATTCCTAAATTTCCAAATTTGTAAATTTCTAAATTCATGAATTTCTTAATTTATAAATTTCCAAACCCTTAAATTTTCCAATTCCTAAATTCCCAAATTCCACACTCTCCCAATTCCTAAATTCCCAAATTCCACAATCTCCCTATTCCTAAATTTCAAAATCTTAAAATTTTCAAATCTATAAATTTCTAATCTCTAAATTTCTCAATTCCTAAATTTCCCAATTCCTAAATTCCCCAACCCTTAAATCCCTGAATCCCTAGGTTCTTAAACCCTTCATCCAAATGATCAAATCTCCAAATTTGTACTAATTTCTCTAAATTTCTGAATTCCCAAATTTCCAAATTTCTACATCCCTAAACATCCCTAAACAGCCCTAAATGCCCCTAAACAACCCTACATATCCCTAAACAGCCCCATAGGCACCTAATTCATCCCTCACCCCGTCAAAACATTCCCACCCCCAATTTTTCATCATCTCAAAGTATAAATTTTGCACTCAAAATAAAAAAATTCCAAAATAAATTTTTATCACCAAAGAACAGTAAAATTGTCAAACGGACGAATATGACAAAAAATGTATCGCACCCTGTGGAATCAGAGTTACAACAATCGTCGTGGCTATCGTTGGTGTTGGTTCTATGTTGTACCTCGTTGTTGTCACTGAAACAGAGAGCACGTTTGGTGAAACCAATATAATCGTTGCCTCTTTCTAATCCTGTATGCACGTAGATGCACTTCTGTTCAGAGTGCACCACCGGTGCACCATTGCACGAAACACTCGATGGTTCGATTTCCATGTACATCACGCAAGGGAGTTTTAGAACATAAACGATCACTTTTGTTCGGTAAAAAGTGAGGATAAAAGTCGGTTAACGTGATTTAGATTTTTTTGAATTCGAATGATTGTGTCGATGATGATCTTTGTTAGTAATTCGAAAAAAATTCGGAAAAGTTTTATTGAAATTTTAAAAGAAATGGAGGATGTATTAATGTTTGATAAAAGTTAATATTTTATATAATTTTTGTGTTGTTAATTATTAACAATTAATTGATATAGTTGTTAAGGTGATCATTTAATTTGACGCAATCATTCGATTTTTTTTTTTAGAACAGGTTTGGTGAAGTATGGAAAAGGAGTTGCACAAGAAATAACGCTTATTATTTTCAGGAACTTGGAATATTTTTATTTTGCAAATTCGTCAAACTTTTGCGGTTCTGAAGGTTTATTGCATGTTAAAATATTTTAAGATTGGGGGTTTCAAGCTTCATATTTCTCAATTTTAGTGCTTTGCTTCTCTGGACTCCTACAATTTTAAATCATCAAGTTCCTACATTTCAAAATTTCTATCCTTTCAAATTTTTAAATTCTTACATTTTTAAGTTCACAATTTTTTACAGTATTAAATTTCTAAATTTTCAAATTTTTTCCAATTTAGAAAATGTAATCCTCACCCTCCATGAGCACCGCTGCAAAGAGAAATATGTTGCAACCTCGTCGAACCCTAACGAAGTCATTTAAAATCTTTACAACCATATCTACAACCATAATTTTCCACAAGAACCGCAAGTGATTGGCACTAGAATACAGAAAAAAACCTAACGTTTGCACGGTATAATAATCACTGCGATTAACAGATAGTTGCTTGCTGCCTCGAGCCGAGGGTAACTGCGGGGAGAAGCAATCTCGATGGTACTTTGATCAGTCGGAGAATCGATGCATGCCATTCTATTATACCGGTTGCGGTGGAAATAAAAATAATTTCGAATCTAGGGACGCATGCGAGTCCGATTGCCCGGCTAAAATTGGTAAGACTTCAATCGCTATGCAATCAATTCAAGTCCTCTCGTGAACGTTCTACTCTGTCGAGTCACGTAAGATTATTCGCTTTTTACGATGCGTCTTCTGCACGATACGTCCTTTGTTGTTGCACTATGTGCTCGTAAATTGTATGTGCTTAAAAGACTTCCTTTAATATGTCTTCGTGAAGTGTCAAACTCGTTCGTTTTATGTTTGCTTTTCTTGTGATGACGGGTGGAAATAAAAAATTCTGTAAATGTCGTTAAATAGGAGAACAAAATAATGTTTCTGATAATTCGATGATATTTTATAATATTGATAATGTTTGGTAATATTTGATAATATCGGATGTTCAATATTATGTGTTTTTGATCTTGAGAAACATTGACAAGATGGCGTCTGACGCGTCACCCACTTTACAGTTTCAATGTGACGAAATTAAGTTTTATTTGTACGAAGATCGAATTTTGAATTTCAATCGTAATTTATATAATTGAAGATTGCTAAATATACTTAACATTTCAATGTTCCTCGTAAGATAGCTTCTTTATAACGGTGCAGTAGTAATTAGGTTATGTCACTGCTGAATTTATAGGTTAAGAGGTTAATCTTTAGTCAATGTCTTATATTTCTGAAACATAATATTGCACTGACAGTTTATTAACATACAGCAAAAATATCTAATAGTAACAAATCTAAGAAAGAAATTTTGTATCAAATTTAAAATGAATTGTCTTCGGTAGATTAAAAAACCTACAAGTTTAATAAACCCACAGGAACATAACCTATACAGATTAATAAACTTACAAAAATTGATATAAGAAAATTTCAACTTTATATCTCTGACACATGTTTAATATTTTATTCTCCTCTTTTTATGAGTAACAAATAACTTTCTTGCATTTTCTCTTTCTTTAAGAATATATTAAAGTATTAAATACATATTACAAAAGTATGTAAAAATGGTTAAATTTGAATTTTAAGTCTAACGAATGAATCAAGATAAATTTTCTAATGAACAAGAAAATTGACATTTATGGAATTGTTTGTTTCTCAACGTCGAGTGTTCGATTACGAACGTGTTTCAATGAGGATACTGTTTGAATATAGAGCAAGACACGTGTCTTTTGCCCGCGCTTTTGGGAGAATGCCACAACTATACTCAACGATGGTACTACGATTCTTACGAACAACAATGTAGACAATTCTACTATGGTGGTTGCGGTGGGAACGAGAATAATTTCGTCACCGAAGAGGATTGTCTTAACAGGTGTCAAACGACGATTACTACCCCTGCGCCGTCTAGGGAAGTCGAATTTCGACCAGGTATTTTAACATTTTAATGTAAAATTTCAATTTTGCTTTGTAGATATTGGTAGAAAGAAAATATACAAAATTATAATTTATTTTGCAATGATATTATGAGCGAATAAAATAGCAATAGACAGAACAATTTAGTTTCGAAATAGTAAATAAAATGGCAATTTAAATTTGAGTAAAGTAGCAAATAAAATTATTTAGTTCTGAGTGAAATAGTAATTTAATTTTGAGTAAAACAGCAAATAAAATAACAATTCAATTTTGAATAAAATATTAATTTAATTTTGAGTAAAACAGCAAATAAAATAACAATTCAGTTTTGACTAAAATACAATCTATTTTCCAGTAAATAAATACATAAAACAGCAATTAAACTAGCAATTTATTTTCCAGTAAAATGACAAATAAAATAATAATTTAATTTTGAGTTACATTTGTTAATAGAATGTTTTTAATTTTGAGAGAGGATTTTGTAACAAATTTTGCAGACTTCTGTTTCCTTCCGGATGAACACGGTCCATGTTCTGATGATCAAATTAAATGGTTCTACGACAGCAGGGAGGGTGTTTGCAAGCAATTTAGGTTTGGAGGTTGCCAGAGCAATGGAAACAACTTCAATTCTCACGAGGAGTGCGAATATCGTTGTGGGGATGTACAAGGTATACAATTTGATTACAAGTAAATAAATTTAGTTTCTAGTTCTCGACATTTACAAAGTTTCGAAATCTCAGCTTTCTGGGTGTTGTGTTCCTTAGATATTTTATATTCCGATGTCTGAAATTTTCAAATTTAAACTTTACAAATTTCCACTGCTTCGCATTAATAATTATTAAGTTTTCAAATTGTCAACCTTGCAAATTTTATATTTCTAAATTCTCACGTCTCCAAATTGTTACATCCCCAAATTCCCACATGTCCAAATTTCCACATCTCCAAATTCTCATATCCCCAAATCCTCACACGTGCAAATTGTCACATCCCTAAATTCCCACATTTCCAAATTCCCACATCTCCAAATTCTCATATACCCAAATTCTCACACGTGCAAATTGTCACATCCCCAAATTCCCACATCTCTAAATTCTCATATCCCCAAATTCTCACGCGTGGAAATTCCCACATCCCCAAATTCCCACATCTCCAAATTCTCATATCCCCAAATTCTCACATGTGGAAATTCCCACATCTCCAAATTCTCATATCCCCAAATTCTCACATGTGGAAATTCCCATATCTCCAAATTCTCACATGTGCAAATTGTCACATCCCTAAATCCTCACATGTCCAAACTCCCACATCTCCAAATTCTCATATGCCTAAATTTCTACGTTCCCAACTTCTCAAATCTCTAAATTGTCATATCCCGAAATCCTCACACGTCCAAATTTCCACATCCCCAAATCCTCACATGTGAAAATTGTCACATCCCCAAATTCCCATATCTCCAAATTCTCAAATCCCCAAATTCTTATACTCCCAAATTCCCACATCCCCAAATTCCCAAACTCCCAAATGTCACCCTTGCAAATACGACTCCCCCAAAAATTTTCAAGATCACTCTCCCTCATTAAGATCTCAACTACTAATATCTCACATTCTCTTTTCTTCAGACCCCTGCTCCCTACCAAAAGTCATCGGTCCCTGCAGCGGAATCGTCAGACAGTACTACTACGACCATCGAGCAGACTCCTGCTACGAATTCGACTACAGCGGTTGTCAGGGTAACAAGAACCGCTTCCAAGATAGAGCATCCTGCGAACAGAGATGCAAGAGAGGACCAAGTCCAACAGAAGCAGCGAACATCACCGTCACGGTTGCACCTCGTGTCGAAACAGTCTCAAAGAGTCCTATTTGTTTCACGCCTGTCGATCCTGGCTCTTGTAACAACGATATCACCGCTTATTATTACGATGCGCAGAATCAAGCTTGTCAAGCGTTCACTTATGGCGGTTGCGAAGGAAATGCGAATCGCTTCCAGACGGAGGAACAGTGCGAACGACTTTGTGGAAGATTCCAAGGACAAGGCAAGCTTTCATATTTATTAATTGGGATTAATTAGAAGTTTTAGTAGGATTATTCTAGTGGGACTGTTTACTGTTTAATCAAACGTTAGGACTGATTTAATAAAAGAGTATCTTTCTTAAGAGAGATTTAGGGTTGAAAGGCAGGAGTTTTATGCGAGATGTGCAATAATGTGATTTCATATAGAATGTTGATATAAGGTGGTTATATAATAGTTTCATATGGCTAATATGTTCATATGGATATAATATGTTCATGTCCATATGAAATTTTGATGTATTAGGTAATAGGTTCATGCGATAGATTGATATAATATATTCATAGACATGCTAACATGATATATTCTTATGATAGTTTGAAGTAATGTGTTCATATGAGATGTGGATATACATATGTTCATATGATGTATTCATATGAGGATTTGATCTTATAATATGTTCAGGAGATATGTAGGTTTAATACGTTCACATGATACGTTGATGTAACATGTTCCTATAACATATTCATATGACATGTGGATGTAATATGTTCATATAATATGTTCATATGACATGTGGATAAAATATGTTCATAACATATGTTAATGTAATATGTTCACATGATATATTGACATGATACGTTTACATGCGATGTTGATATAATATGTTTCTCAGATATATTCATAACATGTGTAGGTATAGTATGTTCATATGATATGCCCATGTAATATGCTCATATGATATATTGACCTCACATGTTTATATGAGATGTTGATGTAAAATGTTCATATGACATATTCATAACATATGTAGATATAGTATGTTCATATGATATGCCCATGTAATATATTCATATGATACATTGACTTGACATGTTCACATGAGATGTTGATGTAAAATGCTCATATGACATATTCATAACATATGTAAATACTGTATGTTCATATAATATATTCATAACATATGCACATACAGTATGTTCATAGAACATGTCCATGTAATATGTCCATATGACACATTCACTTAACATGTTCACATGAGATGTTCATATAAAATGTTCATATGAGATGTTGACACGAGAACGTTCATATAAGTGCCACATTTTTATACAACAAATTTTGTGATTGATTTTCACTATTCTTAACAAATGCAGTACACAAATAAAGTATACATTTTGACCTCATATTTTTGCAGATACTTGCAACCTGCCAGCGGATCCTGGCGACTGTAGAGGCTCCTTCCGCAAATATTATTACGACCCGGTCAGCCGCATCTGTCGCGAATTTATATACGGTGGCTGCGAGGGCAACGCAAACAGATTCAGCACTATGAACGAGTGCGTATCGATTTGCATTCATCACGAGGAACCTGTGCCACCTGGAAACGACACGAACCTGTCGAGTTTGTGTAAGTATCGCCATTCTGTTTGCCATATTTCGTTAGGAAGTTATGAAGCAGAAAACTTGCGAAACAATGCACTTCCACAGTTACAAATTCTTACAAACGGGATGTGAAGCAATTAAGACGATCATTAAATTAATAAATAATTGTGATCGTAAATTATTTGACATCTAACGATTCAATTGAGATAACTTTTAAACAATTCTTTTTATTCCAAACTCTTTACGGAATAATAATATATAAGTTCGTGACGTAATTTCTTTAAAAAATGAATGAATTTTTAACTCTTCGGATTTTGAAGACCCAGAAACTATTTTAACAATGTGAACAATATTGTAATTATGCGAAAAGAGAATTTCACATAAGAGAATTTAAAAATTGGAGAAAGCAGTAACGTTTTGAACGATGATGATTTAGCGATTTGTAAAGAACCGGTCGACATCGGGTCTTGCACTTCCGGTTCTACCAAGCGATTCTACTTCGACGAGGAACAACAAACCTGTAGAGCGTTCATTTACACTGGATGCGGTGGAAATCGTAATCGATTCAAGACTTTCGAGTCTTGTATTAACACTTGTCTCAGCAGTAAGTCGAGAACACGTGTTCCCCGTAATTCAATTATTTTCTCCATCGTTTTTATTTCTTTGCGCAAATTGTACGCCTGGAAAGTCTATTGGTTTTTATGTACGATTCTTTTAGGTAGCATTTTGTGTATATATTGTATTATTATTTTAGGGACATTATTTGGGAATTTTGGGAAATTCGGGGATTTTGGGATTCGGGGATTTTGGGATTTGGGGAATTTGGGATTTGGGAAATTTGGGATTTGGGAATTTTGGGATTTGGGAATTTTGGGATTTTGGGATTTTGGGATTTGGGGATTTGGGGATTTGGGGATTTGGGGATTTGGGCCTTTTGGGATTTGGGGATTCAAGGATTTGGAGATTTAAGGATTTGGGGATTTGAAAATTTGAGGATACGAAAATTTGGGAACTTGAGAATTTCCATACGTAAGGATTTGGGGACTTAGGAATTTGGGGAATTTGGGGATTTGGAAATTTGGGAATTTGGAACTTTGAAAATTTGGAGATTTGACAATTTGGGGATTTGAAAATTTGGAAAATTAGGGAAGTTAGGAAAATTGGGAAAATGGGAAAATGAGAAAGATTGAGAAAATTTGATAAATTTGGAAAATTAGGAAAATTAGGAAAATTAGGAAAATTGGGAAGATTTAGGGAATTTGAAGATTCCAAAATTGTAGAAAGTCGAGAGTTTCGGTATGTAGCAATTGAACTTGAAAATTCTAATACTTGACAATTTAGAAACCCGAAAATAAAAATTTTGCAAACCTTAAAAATTCCTAAATTTCTAACACGCTACACAACATGTATATCCACTTCCTTTAACATAGCTTAAACCCCCCAAAAAGGCACTCTTCAACAAATATCCCAAAATTACAAATATTTTATTTATTTCTCCAGCTTATATTTTATGTTTCTCCTTATATCTTTCAGTTGCTAATTGATGTACATGCTTCGATATCGCTGAAAGCATCAATGTATATTGCTTATATTGCAATTTTTTTTTCTCTTCATTCTTCCATGTTTACCCTATTTTTAATCATAAACAATTTAATCACAGCCACTAACGAGATCGACGTGGAGTCTGGAAAGAACGTAAAGGACCCTTGCGCTGAAGCTCGCGAGGAATGCAGCATTATTCGTTGTCCTTATGGCAAGGAAGCCTTCGTGGATTCTCAGGATTGCGAACGATGCCGCTGTGTGGATCCTTGTAGGACGCAGATTTGTCCTGATGGCACTAAATGCGCCATTACTTTGGTTGCCACTAAAGATGGCACGGAATACAAGGGTGTATGCAGATCAGGTAAAACTTTTCAAAATAACAAACATAACATACATAACAGAAAAATAACAAAAATAGATACAACATGAAAATAATACAATATGCATTTATATTTGTAAACAAAACTAATGGTTCAGTTTTAAAAAAGTTAGAAAATTAAAAATGTTTAGTGAAGATATAATTTTGTGGAGCAATGTATCATTACATAGTATTGTTTATTACTGGATAAGTTCATTTGCAGTTTATTTTAAAAGTCATCACTAAATCTTGAAGTTTTAATATTCGTCATTTTGTGGAGCAATGTATCATTACACAGTCTTGTTTATTGGTAAATAAGTTCACTTGCAATTTATTTTAAAAGTCACCCCTAAATCTTGAACTTTTAATATTCATCATTTTGTGGAGCAACGTATCATTACACAGTCTTGTTCATTGCTAAATAATTTCATTTGCAATTTATTTTAAAAGTCACCCCTAAATCTTGAAGATTTAATATTCATCATTTTGTGGAGCAATGTGTCATTACACAGTCTTATTCATTGTTAAATAATTTAATTTGCAATTTATTTTAAAAGTCACCCCCAAATCTTGAAGTATTAATATTCATCATTAATTCCACATATATCTAACATATATTAATATGTAAATAAATTACGTTATTAATGTAGTGCTGCTGAAGTATCTTAAATTACAAGCTTCTATTTATTGTAACTAAATAATATTTATTGTAACTAACACCACAAGTACTTATCTCGCACAAACAGTTAAAAAAATTCTTATCACAAATTACATCCATAATAAATCTTGAAAAACAATAATTTTCACAGTAACAAAACCAGGCCGCTGTCCAAGAGTATCGAACAGCACCGGATGCGAGCAGGAGTGCATCACGGACGCAGATTGCACCGGAGAGATGAAGTGTTGCAACACTGGTTGCGGCACTTCCTGCCTCGAACCAGCAGCGGAAGTTCCTGAGACCTCTCCAAGGCCGTGGGTCACTGCTCCGCCGGCTGGAGCTGAACCCGCGTCGATAAAGCAGCCTGAAGAGCCTAAAGTCAGCGCTCAAGAGGGTGGATACGTTACTTTGCAGTGCTTGGCTCTTGGCAACCCGAAACCCACCATTACATGGAGAAAAGATACCACCTTGGTCAGTAAAAATATCTTTAAAAAAAAAATTTTTTCTTACATTGTACAAATTTTTAAAAATTGAACAAATTTTTAATTGGACAAATTTTTTTTTAATTTGATAATTTTTAAAAATTAGATAAATTTTATTTTAGTGGATGATCAACTTTGTGTATTCACATTGCTACATTTTTACGAAGTTTAGATTTCTTTTAAATTTCTTTTATTAACCTAACAGTTTCAATATTTTCTTGTTATATCAGAATGATTGAAAGCAAACTTTAATTTACATAAATGATTATTAATGTCTGTAGATCGGGCCGTCGGAGAACAGGCGCCGTATACTGCTCGATGGTTCTCTTCAAATAATCAATCTGTACAGATACGATGGTGGAACTTATGTTTGTACAGCTGACAATGGTTTGGGACCACCGGTAAGAGCGGAATACCAATTAGTAATAACAGGTACGTATCTTAAAGTCATCTTGTGTATTCTATGAATGCAAAAATATTTGTTATTAATGTGGCACAAGTTACTTCAAGTAGATTTGGTTAACTTTGTAGAAGTAGTATAACAGTGAATGTCTAACTTCGTATTTTGACTAATGGGAATGGAAATGAGTCTGTAGTCCGTAACAGAATTGCTGGATCAATATTTCAAGCACCTGAGCTTTACCTAACTTCAAATTAGATTTCTCAAAATTTAATCATAGATAGAGATAAAATAATTGTGAGCAATAATAACCAAGAATGAGCAATAGTCATATTATGAATTAGCTCTGATCCTAAAGAACCACAAGGTAATCGCTCAGATCTTGAAGGATCCAAAAATTAGAAACAAAGTAATCCTCACAATATCCTTAAATATGGACTCATTCTTCCCAAACTTGGTGATGGTAAAATCTGTCTTCTGCATGTCGTGTTCACCCAACGTAGAACCCCAAGAGTTACCAGCAGCGATCATCGGTGAGCCAAACAGTCAGATCACGGTGACCATGAACTCGCCCATATCGCTTCATTGCTACGCCTGGGGTTGGCCTCGGCCTTTCGTCACTTGGTGGCGAGGTGATCGCATGTTGCCATTGTCGTCGGACATCTACGAGCAAGATTCCGATTACACGTTGCTAATTCGTTCGGTGACACTGTCGTCGTTAGGCGTGTACACCTGTCAAGCTTTCAACGCGATCGGCAGAGCTGCATCTTGGTCGACGACTCTGCAGGCGATCGGACCTGTTTACAATGTCCGACCTGATTTCGAACAGTACTTGAAGTACTTGGTCGAACCTCCTAAAAAACCTGAGAAGCCTCAGTATCCTTATAGACCCAACAGAACGCAGACTCCTGATTACCCGATCACGTATACTCCTTTGACTCATGTACCTACGGTTGCTCCTATTACGAGAACCACTATCGAGATTGGTCGCAGGTTTGCAGGTGAGGGGATGTTTTGATTATTGAGGGTCCAGTAACAAGGTCGAAACGTAGATATCGAGATGTTAGTTTATTTGATAGGAGAAAGTTTGCATTTTGGGTTAGGTATGAGGTTGACGCACCTTGTGCGTCTTATGTAATTTGTGTGGTGTAGCTAAAGACGCACCAGGTGCGTTCGACGAGAAAATTAGTATCTTTTTTAATATTAGAATAGCTTTTGATATGTGTCATACTGATGACGCACCTTGTGCGTCTTATGCAGCTTGCATGGTATAAGTAAGGACGCACAGGTGCGCTTGACTTTGACAGTTAGTACCTTTTTTAATATTGGAATAGCTTTTCATATGTTTCATACCGATGACCTAGTATCTTTTTCAGTATTGGAATAGCTTTTGATATGTGTTGTACTGATGACGCACCTTGTGGGTCTTATGCAACTTGCGTGGTGCAGGTGAGGACGCACCAGGTGCGTTTCATGTAAAACTTCCTATTTTATGTAATACTACAATGGTTTCCAATAGATCGCATACCAATGACACACATTTTGCGTCTCATATCATCTTCTTAGTGTGAGGACGCACCAGGTGTGTTTCATGTAAAAATACCTCTTTCATCCAAAAGGTCACATACTGATGACGCACCTTGTGCGTCTCATATCATCTTAGTATAAGGACGCACCAGATGCCTTTTATGTAGAGATTGCTATATTACAATAGCCTCCAATACATTCCAAATCGATGACTCACCTGGTGCGTCTTATGTGATTTGCATATAACATCGAGGACGCACCAGGTGCGTTTTATGTGGATACAATAGCAATAGCTTTCGACATGTTTCAAGCTGACGTTCCTACGTCCTATACGAATTACTTCAATTTTAAATAAAACAGTTTCTTTTTATAATCGATATCTACGTTGAACGACGATTGGACCTTCTGTTTTATTAACATTTGCATCTTTGATTGCCAGTGCTTGAATCGTTGCATGTCCCTGTTTTTCTAACCTACTTTGCATGCGTATTAATCGAATCAAAATTAACAAGTTGACAGACTGCAAAGGTAAGTAAAATATTTCATTTATAAAATATTTTTCTTCTATAGCGAACTGCTTTATTTTCATTTTTATTTCCTATTTATTGCCAACGTGTATTGTCAAAGTTTTAACAGTAATCGACTTTCCCACAGTTCCTGTCACAGCGAATATATCGATAGGACAGAATCAGTTCCCTGAAGGCAGTGATATCAGCATCACTTGCAACGTCGATGGTGATCCGATTCCTCGAGTATCGTGGTTCAAGGATGACGACCCTATTCAAGCTAATAATCGAATTCAGATTACCGGTGAGTAAATCTTAACTAAATCTCTACATCTCTAGATTTCTACATCCAGAGATTCTTACATCGCTAATTTACCCTGAAATTTTGATGCAATAAATTCTAATAAATTTTGATTATTAGATTCTAATAAGTTTGAATTCTGTTTTCAGACGCGAACAGATTGCTAATCACCGACGCGAATCGAGAGGACTCCGGCCGATACCGTTGCGTCGCCACAAATGATTACTACAAAGCCTCGGACACTGTAGATATACGAGTCGATGGTAAATATCCAAATAAATTAATTGTCCAGATCACTCAAACTTAACTTCTAATAATCTTGACCCTAACGAAATTATAACTTGACCCTAACGTCCACAGGTATCTTCATCCACCCCAATTGCCAGGACAACACGTTCTTCGCAAAGTGCGACTTAATCGTGAAGGCGAGATACTGCACGCACAAATACTACGCGAAATTCTGTTGTCGATCGTGTACCGAGGCCGGCCAGCTACCCTCGAGGGGGCCTCACCTGAGCACCTCGAGAAGGCGGCGAAGGTATATCATGAAAACGCTCGTCTAAACGTCGAACGGGGATGATTCGCGATATTCGTGACGAGCAACACGATCCGGCGAAACATCGACTGTCATCCAGAGGAGATATGGCGAAAGGAACGACGACGATTCGATGACACTTGTGAAAATTGTGTACCGCGATCATCGTGACGTTAATTCACTGCCAAAGCCTTAGAACGTCTATATACATAGATACGTTTAATATATATTAAGGAACAGCGAGACGGAGGGGTCGATGAAGGTCGACGATGAAGGTCCACGAGTTGGCGCGTGAATTCACTGTGGAGACGTTTGGCTACATTTGGTTACATTTTGGCAAATCAGAATTAATTTCTTGAGAGTTAAGACCTTGAGAGTTAAGTTCTTGAGAGTTAAGTTCTTGAGAGTTATTCTTAGAATTAAATCACTGATTGATTGATTGATTGATTGATTGATTGAGTTTATAAGGGCGACTGCTATGATCATTGGCCCAAAACACTTGAGAGACCATTTGCCTAACTGGCGATCTACTGTTCAAAATGGCGTACATCTGACCAGTTGTAGCTCTTGTATGCTCTTCGCGCGCCAACTCGTTGGAGGAGCGATTCCTTGGTTTATCGTCGTTGTTTCTTTCCAACGCCGTCGTCCGTATATATACGATCTGACGCTGAATCCTAGTCGGTCGAAGCCATATTAGGCGGGTTAATTACTGTCCTCGTGGGACGAGAGGAAGCTCGATCGAATCCTCGACACGATCGATACTTTCCGATTTTCTTTTTCCCTTCGTTTTTCTTTTTCCATCGACGATCATCGCTACTCGTCGCTGCGACTGCGTTTTATGTTGCATATACACACTTTGTACACTGTTTGGACATTTTTGGACATCTCTCAATTTTTATGTTTCGGCATTTTTGTGCTTTTGTGTCTTTGTATTTCTGCATTTTCATGACTGTCATCCAGAGGAGATATGGCGAAAGGAACGACGACGATTCGATGACACTTGTGAAAATTGTGTACCGCGATCATCGTGACGTTAATTCACTGCCAAAGCCTTAGAACGTCTATATACATAGATACGTTTAATATATATTAAGGAACAGCGAGACGGAGGGGTCGATGAAGGTCGACGATGAAGGTCCACGAGTTGGCGCGTGAATTCACTGTGGAGACGTTTGGCTACATTTGGTTACATTTTGGCAAATCAGAATTAATTTCTTGAGAGTTAAGACCTTGAGAGTTAAGTTCTTGAGAGTTAAGTTCTTGAGAGTTATTCTTAGAATTAAATCACTGATTGATTGATTGATTGATTGATTGATTGATTGATTGATTGATTGATTGATTGATTGATTGATTGATTGATTGATTGATTGATTGATTGATTGATTGATTGATTGATTGATTGATTGATTGATTGATTGATTGATTGATTGATTGATTGATTGATTGATTGATTGATTGATTGATTGATTGATTGATTGATTGATTGATTGATTGATTGATTGATTGATTGATTGATTGATTGATTGATTGATTGATTGATTGATTGATTGATTGATTGATTGATTGATTGATTGATTGATTGATTGATTGATTGATTGATTGATTGATTGATTGATTGATTGATTGATTGATTGATTGATTGAGTTTATAAGGGCGACTGCTATGATCATTGGCCCAAAACACTTGAGAGACCATTTGCCTAACTGGCGATCTACTGTTCAAAATGGCGTACATCTGACCAGTTGTAGCTCTTGTATGCTCTTCGCGCGCCAACTCGTTGGAGGAGCGATTCCTTGGTTTATCGTCGTTGTTTCTTTCCAACGCCGTCGTCCGTATATATACGATCTGACGCTGAATCCTAGTCGGTCGAAGCCATATTAGGCGGGTTAATTACTGTCCTCGTGGGACGAGAGGAAGCTCGATCGAATCCTCGACACGATCGATACTTTCCGATTTTCTTTTTCCCTTCGTTTTTCTTTTTCCATCGACGATCATCGCTACTCGTCGCTGCGACTGCGTTTTATGTTGCATATACACACTTTGTACACTGTTTGGACATTTTTGGACATCTCTCAATTTTTATGTTTCGGCATTTTTGTGCTTTTGTGTCTTTGTATTTCTGCATTTTCATATTTTAATAATTTTAATAATTTTTATAATTTTAATAATTTTAATAATTTCAATAATTATATATTTTAATTTCAATTCACAAATTGAAAATCTTTATATTACTTCAAAGTTTGAAATTTATGTATAAAAATGTCTAAATGTCCACATTTACTAATTCTTTTAATTTTTATATATTTTTGAATTTGGATATCATTCAACATCTACATTTCTTCATTTACAAATTCTTTTAAGGTACATATATTTTTTAATTTCAAACTTTATATATGTCTACAGCTTTGAACTTTAATTTTCAAGGTTAATAAATGTTCAGGGTTAAAAATGTTGAAGGCTAAAAAAACCAGAAATGTTCAAATGTACTCATTAAACTTTGACAAATAACTCAACAGAAATATAAGGGTAAAATTGCAACCCTAACAAACTTCATAGTTAATCACCCTTAAAAACTAAATCATCATTGAGAAAATATATTTAGAATAAATAACGCAGTCGCAGTGCATTCATACAATTAGATTCATTAATTAATTAACCTCATGATTGATGACGAGAGTTTCACGAGACACGTCAGGGGAACAAACAAGTCGCTGTGAATTTCACGATTCTGCGTTTTCTCTTATATAGGACGCTTTCATGCCAGTAGCATTTCACCATTTCTTCTTCTTCTACTTTTTTTTCAACGAGAAAGAAAGAGGCGATCGAGGGAGAAACTTGTATCTATTTGTACGAAACATATACGCACGTTACGTTGTACAATATGAATAGTTTATTACGCAGTATGCCATTTATATACTCTATGATGATACCGTTGCTACTTATTCCTTATCGATACTCGAACGTATTGCCATAGCACGAATTACACTTCTTTGTCATGGTCGAAGCGTATGTGGAAACGATTGATACTCGTGAGGATGCAACGTTAGTTATTAGGAAATGTTTGTGAAATTTGGGTTTGTAATTGTGATTAGGGGTGGCAGTATATTTGATGTAACTAGATTTTTATTTGGGGTGATCTAAGTTACTTGTGGTGATTTGGGTAATGTGGAAATTTGGGGGATGAAGAATTTGGGGAAATGAGAACTTTGGGGGATGAGAATTTGGGGAGTGCAATATTTGGAGTAATGAAAATTTAGAGAAGGAGGAATTGAAAGAATTGAGAATTTGGGGGATGAAGAATTTAGGAAATAGGAATTTAGGAAAGCGAAAATTCGTGAAATAGAAAATTTCAAGAAATGAGAAATTGGGGAATAAAAAATTTGGAAAATGAGACATTGAAAAATTAGAAATTTTGGTGGATGAAATTGGACAATTGAGAACATGAGAAATAAGTAATTTGGGAAATTGAAATTTTGAAAAATTATAAATATAAAAATTTAAAAATTCACGAATTGTACTATACATCTAGTTACGTCAAAGATGACTGCATTCGCTAAAATGTACTTCGTTGCATCCTCAACAAAATAAACTGCACTCGAGCAGTTTTCGAAATCGTATCGTGCGATCACATGGGCATATTAACGTGTTGCATTTATATATTTGTTCCTGAACATTTTACTCGTAATGTTAACTACGTACTGTTATTATATGTATACTGTATCATCTATCGTGAATCCTTGAACACGTTCGGGACTAAGAGCTATTAGTTAACCTCAAAAATAACCCTTGCTTTAAGGAATAATATTTAGATTCGATGTTGTAACCCAAGTAGAAAATGTTCACTTTTATTTTTTTATTTTAACTTGAAAATACATTTCTTAATTTTATTTTTGTGTTGCAATCAAAATAGAAAACATTCACTATTTTTTTTTATTTTAACTTGAAAATACATTTATTAATTTTATTTTTGTGTTGTAACTTAAATAGTGAACACTGACTTTTATTTTTTAATTTTAACTTGAGAATACATTTATTAATTTTATTTTCACGTTATAACCAAAACAAAAAAGTTCTCTATTTTTTTTTAATTTTAACTTGAGAGTTACATTTATTAATTTTATTTTTATGTCGTAACCAAACTAGAAAACATCGACATTTATTTTTGTATTTAAACTTGAGAGTACATTCATTATTTTATATTCGTTGAAACGTTATCTTTAATTTGATAGATACTCGTATAAATTTTAAGAAAGTAATTTTAATCAGTAAGAGAGTTTGATATACATATCTGAAGTGTAATAATTTATTCCTAGAAGAAAAGCTCTTAATCCAGAACGTCGATAAAAGTATCAGTAGTTGGTAGCGTATCAGAATTCCGAAGGGAAAGGTACCAAAAGCATTTATAATTATATAAATATAAATATATATATATATACATATATACATACATATATAAGCGTAAGTTTTACTCAATGATGGAAAGAATCCACGGAACCGTAGGAAAAGACATTCTTCTTTCGTCTGATCGTTTCAGTCACAGTAAATGACAGTGCCTTATTAGACGCCCTTCGAAAGCGTCGGGGAAAACGAGTGCTAACTAGAACAATTTACATACAGAAGTACTTGTGTTAGTGTAAATATCACGTAGTGTACGCGCGCTAAAAGAACAACAAATTCTATCGATACGTTCGATCGAACATTTGATAGTAACAACAAACACGAATAAAAAGAAACGAGTAAATTAATTGTGAACATTATTTAGAAACAATTGCGCTAAATTACGTGTGCGAATTCCTCCGATTTCGGCTGCTTTTTGTTCGTTCATCGTACAAAGAATCCTTCTTTTCTGATGTAATGTTTGAACGGTGATGGGAATGTTTTTGGATGGACAGTTTTTGGGTTTTGGGGCTTGGGGATTTGGAAATTGGGTTTATGGAGTTTTTAGAATTTTTGAGTTGACTTTTTCAATTTTTTTGTTTTTTATTTTATGGGTTTTCAAATTTTTGGTTTTTAGGTTTTCATATTTGGAAATTTACCGATTCTCAAATTTTCATATTTGGAAATTTACCGACTCTCAAGTTTTCAAATTTTTAAATTTACCAACTTTCAAATTTCCAAATTTTCAAATTTACCAATTCTCAAATTTCCAAATTTTCAAATTTACCAACTCTCAAATTTCCAAATTTTCAAATTTACCAATTCTCAAATTTTCATATTTTTAAACTCACTAATTCTCAAATTTCCAAATTTTCAAATTTACCAACTTTCAAATTTCCAAATTTTCAAATTTACCAATTCTCAAATTTCCAAATTTTCAAATTTACCAACTCTCAAATTTCCAAATTTTCAAATTTACCAATTCTCAAATTTTCATATTTCTAAATTCACTAATTCTCAAATTTCCAAATTTCTAAATTTACCAACTCTCAAGTTTCCAAATTTCTAAATTTACCAACTCTCAAATTTTCAAGTTTTTAATTTTACCAACTCTCAAATTTTCAAATTTCTAATTTTACCATTTCCGAAATTTCCAAATTTCTGAATTTACCATTTCTCAAATTTCCAAATTTCTGAATTTTCAAATTTCCACCTTAAAAATTTAATAAAACACCAAACTCAGAATTTAAAAATTTGACAATTTAATAAATTTTCAAACAGCACTAAAATTGTGCAAAAATAAAATTTCCAAAATGCCACTTCCCAAAATCAAACAATTGTCTCCATAATAAACCCATCACTACGTTGGACGAGAAAAAAAAAGATATCGATAATCGTGACAATCACGGTACTGCTTTAAAACACGTGCATATCAACGGATGATAAATTCGACGTAGAACTTCAGTGTAAGATACTTTGTAAGTAGAACGTTCGTGGATCCTCTATATTTTTTAATGTATTTTTATCGAATCGGAGGAATATCGTGCGATTCGAAGAAAACGAAGCAGAAAGAAGAAAGGAAAGATCCTCCGTGCTCCCTTAGACGTGATCCAATTAGACACGATACGATTGTTTAGTAATTAACATTATATCTAGTGAACGTAGAAAATAGTTGGCATAGTTTACGAATGTAGAAACCAATCGATTTGATCGTAAATCGTATGTGTACGCATCTTTTAACCTTTACGTTGTTCAATTTATTTTTGCTGTTGTTATTGATTAGATTTTTTAGTTAATTGAGGGAAACTTTTTTTTGAGTTTATTTCATTTTTTGTTGTTAATGGGGTGGTAAGAGGATTTTGGAGGTTTTGGAGATATGGGAGATTTTGGGGATTTTGGAGATGTAAGAAGTTTTGGAGATTTTGGGGATTTTGGGGATTTTAGGGATTTTGGAGATTTTTGAGGTTTTGGTGCTATTGGATTTAGGACATTTCAGAGGAGTTAGAAATTTTGGAAATTCAAAATTAAGTTTGAGAATTGTAAAACTAGGTGATTTTAAAATTTGGGGGTTTTAAAGTTTACAAGTTGAGAATTGGCAATTTAGAAATTTTTGATGTCCCAAATTTGTCTAAGATCCTAAAATTTCTGAAGCCTTAAAATTCGTAAAGTTCAAAAATTTCCTAAAATCCTAAAATCCCCAAAGTTCTAAATTTCCTAAGATCCCAAAACTTCTAAAATTCCAAAATTTCCTAAAATCCCCAAAGTTCTAAAACTTCCTAAGATCCTAAAACTTCTAAAATTCCAAAATTTTCTAAGATCCCAAAATTCCCAAAGTTCCAAAATTTCCTAAGATCCCAAAATCCCCAAAGTTCTAAAATTTCCTAAGAACCTAAAATTTCCAAAACCCCCAAATTTGTGTAAAATCCCAAAATTTCTGAATGAAAGAAAACCTTGATATTTCTATATTCGATAATATGTGTAATTAAACATAGCAGTGTAAAGGTTAAAAGAAAGAATGGAAGGGAAACAAGGTACACGTCGAACGTCAGTTCAGTAGATTCTCTCTATTCTATAGTAAATAATTTATATTTCTACCGTGTGATCTGAAGTCTGTACAATGGCCCGCCATCGCTTACCGTTACACTAGAGATGTATATAATTACCGCTGTTAACATACTATTCTGTTTACGACGTATCATATCGACGCTCCTTGTTCGTAGAAACGATCTTAATGCAACCATTAATTCAATCATTTCAAACAACACCTCTCGGGAGTCACTTAAACCTTTCACTACCAATACTTCACTAATTAGTTCAAATAATTTCACTAATATTTAAACACCCAAAATTTTGATGAATGAATATTTTTATCCATGACATACTCTTTGATCTGAAATTTAATTTTATCCCTTTATTTTTAATTTAAAAATTGAATAAGAATTATTTCATTAAACAAAGAAACCTTGATAAAAATTTTGAATTATTTTGTCAAAATAAAATAAATTGCAATGATGTAAATTATGAGACGTGCAATTTTATGTTTGATGTAGTACAAGGGTTAGATAAAATATTATTTAGTTTTTATTAGAAGTAACTGAATGTGCAATTTATTTATGTTTGACTAAATAACGAAGCTTGATAATATATTCTTTTATTATAAAACAGTATATTTGCAGGAGAATGCAATGACGGGTTCATGCACCCCTTAAATATTTAAGAGGTTGATGCACCCTTTAATCGAAATTAAATTAATAAAAATGAAAAATTCTAAATAAAATTAAAGTTTTTGATTCTTGAAGTATAAATCTTGAATAAAACGTGAATCTTCCATTATCTTTTTTAAAGTTTATATATAAATGTTTTAATTTCAAGATGTTATCTAGATATTTCAAGCGATATTAAAGATCGTTGCTACGAACACCGACGAAGGATTAAGCGTATGTTTACGAGACAAAAGAGTCGCCATAAAGCGAGAGGAAAGTGAATGATAAGCGATAAAAAGAAAACAACAAATAAATTAATCAATTTGTTCGTGTCTCCAGTGTATTATCTGTACGTGCATAGCTGATCGCGACAGCGCTAAAGATTTTAGTGAGTGTATTTGTAACTGTAAGTATCTTAGGCAATGATTAATATAATAATATATCTAATTATAAAATAAAGGTAGACGTAAAGTAATGCCACTATACAAACATTGTATGGACAATAATAATATATAAGATCCTTAAATATACGGTTAAACGATCTGCATGATTATTCTCTGTCGAGGACTGTTGTCTGCGACAAACCCAACGTGAAATTTTATCAGAAAATATCATTTAACAACAATAATTAATATTTATTAAATTATTGTGTCACACTTTCAATCTTAATTATCTTCATCTATACTAATACAATATTTAATATTGTAACTAATATAATTGCAATATTTTTAATTAATTAAATAACTCCACTTCTTTGGCTCTCTATGGAGTGTCGCATGAGGTATCGTTTGTGCTGTTCTTCGATGGTGACAGCCTTCTCGATTCTGTCTGTGGCGATTCTTTCTATTTGCGCGAACAATTCTGTGTGCACGGCGATGCATTTTCGGAAATCTCTACGTTCGAGACGGTATACCTCGCACACTTCGATCGCTATTACGCTTGCTACTCTTCTTTGGTCGGGGACGAGGAGAGCCACCTCGCCGAAATGTGCTCCGTCCTCCAAATGACAGATCTGTGAAATATTCAAGATGGATTGCTGGATTAAAAATGCAAAATTTCCAAATTTATAATTCCAACTTTACCAAATTCCTAAATTTTCCAGTTTCCAAATTTTCAAATTTCAACTTTCCCAAATTCCTAAATTTCCCAATTCCCAAATACCCAAATTACCTTTTTCCCAAATTTCCAAATTTTCCAATTCTCAACCCCCCAAATTCCTAAATTTTCCAATTCCCACATCCCCATATTCTCACCTCCCCAAATTCCCACATCTCCAAATTCCCACATCCCCAAATTTCCACATCCCTAAATTCCTACATCCCCAAATTTTCACAGCCCCAAATTCCTACATCTCCAAATCCCCACATCCCCAAATTTCCACATTTCTCAATTCCCACATCTCCAAATTCCCACATCCCTAAATTTCCACACCCCCAAATTCTCACATCCCCTAATTCCCACATCCCCCAATTCCCACATTCCCAAATTCCCATATCCCCAAATTCCCACATCCCCAAATTCCTACATCGCCAAATTCCCACATCCCCCGATTCCCATCTCCCCAAATTCCCACATCCCCAAATTCCAAAACCTTCCTTCCAAAATTGAAAATACCTCTTTCCCAGTCGGTGTTAAAATAGCCACAGTTCCAGCAGACAGAAAGAACATGCAATCTCCTTGCACCCCAGCTTTTACAATCACGTCGCTCGGTAAATACAGTTCGAATTTCAAGTTCCTCACGATAGATCTTAGAACATTTTTCGGCAGAGTTTGAAAAATAGCCACATTCTCGACCAAACGATGACACGATTGCAACGCGATTTCTTGACGTAGTTGTTCTAAGTTGTTATGAAAAATCATATTATTAAATTCAGTATCAGTATTCCAAGATAAAATAGATTACCAGATAAATTTTGTAATATGAGTTTCTCTCGGAAATAGCTGTTTCTGAATCGATAATAGTAGTAAGCTTGAAGACGATTTTTCATGTGAGCTGGTAACTGTTTTTGAATGGTGTAAGCGATTACTTGATTCATTATTTCTTGGAACTTTGATTTGGATGCCCTTCTGCTGGCTTTTATGTGGATTAACATCACTGAAACAGTGTTATGTAGTTTAGTTTACTAAAAGGGAAATTAAAGTGTAAAGGAACAGCCAGACGAAGGTGTACAGGAACCAAACTATTATTGAGCTATTTAAAAAGCAAATAGATTATTAATATAATAAGTTAGGCCAGAGATCGGAGATTTGTTATGTCACCTATGATATAACATTCAAGGACTCGTCCGAGTATCATGAGAACAGAACTCAGTATCATATGTCCGTCTGCTTTAGGAACGTATTTTCCGTAACCACTGGCTGCCAGTTTCTCGACGACGATGAACAAGGCATATTGAAATCTGAAGGGTATCGTGTCGCTGTCTAATCCTATCATCCAACATTCTTCGCACTCCTGAAAGAAATTTGGGGGATAGGAATTTGAGGACATAGGTATTTGGGGAGGTGAGAATTTGGGGATGTGAGAATGTGGAGATGCAAGAATTTAGGGATGTGAGAATTTGGGGATGTGAGAATGTGGAGATGCAAGAATTTGGGGATGTAAGAATTTGGAGATGTGAGGATTTAGGAATGTGACAATTTGCACATGTGAGAATTTGAGGATGTGGGAATTTCCACATGTGAGAATTTGGACATGTGGGAATTTGGGGATGTGACAATTTGTACATGTGAGAATTTGGGGATGTGGGAATTTCCACATGTGAGAATTTGGAGATGTGGGTATTTGGGGATGTGGGAATTCCACATGTGAGAATTTGGGGATATGAGAATTTGGAGATGTGGGGATTTAGGGATGTGGGAAATTCCACATGTGAGAATTTGGGGATATGAGAATTTGCACATGTGGGAATTTGGGGATGTGACAATTTGTACATGTGAGAATTTGGGGATGTGGGAATTTCCACATGTGAGAATTTGGAGATGTGGGGATTTGGGGATGTGGGAATTTCCACATGTGAGAATTTAGGGATATGAGAATTTTGAGATGTGAGGAATTAGGGATGTGACAATTTGCACGTGTGAGAATTTGGGGATGTGGGAATTTCCACATGTGAGAATTTGGGGATATGAGAATTTGGAGATGTGGGGATTTAGGGATGTGGGAATTTCCACATGTGAGCATTTGGGGATACGAGAATTTGGACATGTGGGAATTTGGGGATGTGACAATTTGCACGTATGAAAATTTCGGGAAATGAGAATTTGGAGATGTGGGAATTTGGACATGTGAGAATTTGGGAAAACTTGAAAATCTAAAAATTCAGTCAAAATTTGTCTCACCTCAGCAGCAGACATAATAATATGCAGTTCTAACACTGGTATAAGATAACACAAACAGGAAGACCAGAACATCATATAAAATCCCAACATCAACGTGCTGAATGTTTCGTTATAAAAATGCATAACTTCGAAGTACTGTAATACAAATAAAAATCATTACTTGTAAACTAATTTTAATGTCATTGTGTACAGTATTGACTCGTCAAGTATTTGTTAAACGATTGATATTGAAGTCGTGATTTTCATTATTAAAGTAAAAATGTAGAAGTTAATGTTTCAAATTTGGTCTTACACTAAATAGTTCAAATATCTGTTGATTAACGTAGCCATAACGCGATATTTTTAATAAAGGTAGAAGATTCACTGCAATAACCCAGTGAGAAGAATGATGTCCTGGGATAGTACGCCATGGCATCGTTATGTGATCCCATGGCAACGAAGAGAGAACATCTGGTACAAAGTTACCCTGCACATATTGCCTGAATCATGTTATATGATATAAACAATTACTAAAGGAGTATTATTATAAATTCTTTAATAATAATAAATGAGAAATTGGATAATGAAATGAAGCTCTCAAAAACGAAATTTAATTGACACACAAAATCAGTAATGAAATAAAATTTAAATAAACAAAAGATAAAGTTCTGAAAACCTGTTAAATTCAAGTTAAAACATAATTAATAAAACAGACAACAATTAACAAGCCTAATGATGCAATAAATAATACAATAAAGTTTAACCAAATATGCTGATTAAACAAACGAAGATGAATTAAACAAAGTAAAGTTCAAATAAAGTTAAAATACTTGAGGATCTTCAAGGGTTCCAATTCCACTCGCATGTTAACATGGTCATTGTATCCTGTGATACAATTGAGAACAATATCTATCCAACAGAACGAGTAGATGAAAAAATTGAACTTGTCCAGTCGAACTTTATCGTGAGCCATTATAACGAAGCAAACCGAGAATGGTATCGTCAGGAAAGCGATCATAAATATCACTGTCATTACTACGTCCCAGACAAACCTGAAAATTTAATCGAGAACTACTTAAAGAAATAGTCGGTTCTAGTTATAATACAGTTCCGGATCATTGAATTACCACGTTAAAAAATTTTACTTTTATGGTTTGATGGTTTTGGCTAGCTAATGGAAGATGGCTAGCTAACATCTTCTATAGTTACTTCCAATCGTATAATAACTTTACCTCCAGTAACTGAATGGATGAATGATCCACCAGTAGCTAAGAGCAGCATGTCTTCTTCTTTCAGCACCCACGGCTGCTAAACTGTGCATGTACATCATTGTTCTTGGTGTTTCTACATGGATTTCAAACATGTGCTGCCAAACATCGATGAATTTCAGGTCCTTGAAACTAGTAGCCCTAGTGATAGGAGACTTTTCTCTGAGGCGAAGTCCACATATGTGCTGCTTCATGATGATGTCTTCCTTTCTTGAGTTACTCTTTAATTATCCTTCAAATTTATAAGGGATAGGTTTCTTGAGTCGCGTGATTTGGAGCTTGGATTGGTGGATAGTTGGTGGATTGGTGGATTGGTGAGTTGGTGGATTGGTGGATTGGTGAGTTGGTGGATTGGTGGATTGGTGAGTTGGTGGATTGGTGGATTGGTGAGTTGGTGGATTGGTGGATTGGTGAGTTGGTGGATTGGTGGATTGGTGAGTTGGTGGATTGGTGGATTGGTGAGTTGGTGGATTGGTGGATTGGTGAGTTGGTGGATTGGTGGATTGGTGAGTTGGTGGATTGGTGGATTGGTGAGTTGGTGGATTGGTGGATTGGTGGATTAGTGGATTGGTGGATTGGTGGATTGGTGGATTTGTGGATTTGTAAATTGGTGGATTAGTGGATTAGTGGATTAGTGGATTAGTGGATTGGTGGATTTGTGAATTTGTGGATTGGTGAATTAGTGGATTGGTGGATTTGTGGATTTGTGAATTGGTGGATTAGTGGATTGGTGGATTTGTGAATTTGTGGATTGGTGAATTAGTGGATTGGTGGATTGGTAGATTGGTAGTTTTCTACACTTTTACATTTTCACATATCTACTTCTACACATATACACATTTCTACACTTCTAAATTGTTCTCCAACTTTACTGCTCTTTTCCTAAACACCATGTTCCTAAATTTTAAAATTCAAGAACTTCGAAATTCTCACATTTCCAAATTTGCTTCTAAAAATAAACAATGCAAAATATTTCGAATAGACAAATAAAAAATAACACAAAAACTACTACACAAATAACCCTATAAATTTTTATTTCAACTGAAAACGCTATCTAACCATTCCTCCCACAAATTCAAACCATAACTCAAAATTCTTAACTCTTTAATTCTCCTTACCTTTACTATTACTTCCACTCCTACTCTTCCCTGTTGAAGTTGCATTAAAATCTTCTGAAATTATCTGAAATTAGAGGGGAAACATCTTGTAACATGTCCGAAATATTGAACAGTCGTTTATTAAAAAACTGTCGACGATAAAAAATATACCCAATCACGGCTCGTCATTATAATACGATGAACGTCTATGCGCTATAGTACATGTATACAAACGGGTGCGCTTTTTATCTTTTTCTTTTAATACTCCGTGCGTTAGCGTAACTGGATGACAATCTTTGGTTAATTTCCTGCGATTTTCGGCAAACGAACTGACATGGTTTGTGCGTGTATCGATCGCTCGAATCAACTCTCGTAATTGACGAAATAGAAGATCGGTGGCCGTAAAAGAAGCATCGATACTAGCGACTGCGTTGCAAACAATCAAATTTATTCATTCGCTTGAACCCTCCAATCCGTTTGGTTGTTCTTTAATGCACTTTTAAGTACTTGAGCAGATGTTTCGTTGAATATTTTCATCAAATTATTTGAAATTCTTAATGACGTTTCAAGTTGTTGCACATAAAATGATTTGGGTGATTGTTAATTGTTTTTGGGGACTTTTGTTAATTGTTTTTTGTTAGGTTATTTGTTCTTTTATTTTAGTAGGTTATTATTAGGTTATTATTTTCTATGAAATTATTTGTTCATTATTTTTTGTTAATTTATTTATTCATTATTTTTTATGAATTTATTTGTTCATTAATTTTTTATGAATGTATTTTGTTCATAATTTTTTGTGAATTTTTTTGTTCATTATTTTCAATAAATTTATTTGTTCATTAATTTCTTATGAATGTATTTTGTTCATAATTTTTTATGAATTTTTTTGTTCATTATTTTCTATGAATTTATTCGACCACTACTATTACGAATTTATTTACTCATTATTTTTAAGAAATTACTTAATTAATTTTTAGACAAGTATAACTGTACGGAAAATAATGAAAATGTACCTTCATCATGAAATGCATTTTATATCAATTATATTTTGTATTTAATTTTTTAAGTCAATGTTAAAGTGTTTATCTTTATAGAAACTTGTGAGGTTAACCTTCATTGAATATTATATTAAATTATAACACTAATCAGGTTTATAATAATATTAAATGTTTATGCTAGTCTTCATATTAAAATGTAATATTTTTTTAAATTTGTCATAGAAGTTTGGTTTGATTAATTGTAAATAATTTACGACAACTGACATTTCGCCATCTTGTCTTAACGTGTTCCTTCAAGCTTCAAACGTTGTCATGGCTGCCATTTTGTGGCAGATCATACTTCAAATATCTTCTTAATCATTCTTATATGAAACAACTTGATCTCCAATTTTGTTACAATTAAATTTTCACCGGTTAATTACTAGAATATCTAGAATACTGAAAGTCTATATTAAACACTAGAACTACCATTCTGATATAATCAAAATGATTTCAAGTTTCACATTTTACATGACAAAATTTCTGTCAAAATGACATACTTTATTTTCAATTTAAGTATTAATGAAATAGTTCTAGTGTCAAAACATTTTTAAATACAACTCGAAAATTAATTCAAAACTTCTCTAGTTTCACGACAAGTTTAACGTAAAATATCTAGGAACTTCTGACAAGTCTTTTCTAAAACCAAACAAACGAATAATGTTAAATTCACACGAATTTTAGTTACTTCGAAGGCAACCAGTTGGAGGGTCAAAGGGCTAGAAAATCGTGTACGTTAAAAAAATAACTACCCAGTTAATTTAACCTCAACTATCAGTCTTCCCGGATATTCCTGTTTTAATATATTCCCTAGTCGTTTAAAAAAATACGACGCTCGCGTCGTGGTTACAATAAAATTCGTATGGATTCGAGTCCCGATCGAATAAAGATCGATGCAATTTTCTAATAAACACGATCGATCTTTCCACGATCGTGATCGATCTCGTAGCTACAAAATCCAGCTATCATCTAATTGTAAGATCGATCCTCTTGCGTCGATCAACGATTACACAATATTGAACGTTTCGTTACGGTGACTTTCATCGTTACTAGTCTACTAGTACAAACATTGAGTCGTGTATATTTTAACAATCACTCTATCGAGGCCAGGGTATTATTCTGTCGTTTTTTATTTATCGGTTATACGTCTAAATAATCGTCGCGAGGTCATCTCGCGAGACAAGGCGATCATCGCTAGCTCTAATTTTTGGGAGATTGTTCTTCTTATGGTGGTCTTTGTTGGGGGAAATAGGTAATTTTAAATCTTCAAATCTCTGAATTTCTACATCAGTAACTTGCAAAATCATTAATATCCAAATTTCTACATTGACAAATTCTTGTATCGCTATGTTATTACATATCAAACTCTTTACATCCCTCAATCTCTAGGTCTACAGATCCCTACACTCTCAAATTTCTATATTCACGAATACCTGTATTTATAAATTTCTAAATTCCCAAATTACTGCAAACCCAAATTTCTAAATGTTGAAATTCTCAAATTGTCAAATCTCCAAATTTGTAAATCCATACACCCCCAATCTCTAGGTCCTCACATTCTCATATTCATATCCCCAAATCCCACATATCCCCAAATCCCACATATCCCCAAATCCCACATATCCCCAAATCCCACATATCCCCATATCCCACATATCCCCAAATCCCACATGTGTCCATATCCCACATATTCCCAAATCCCACATATCCTCAAATCCCATATTCCCAAATCCCACATACCCCCAAATCCCACATATCCCCAAATCCCACATATCCCCAAATCCCACATATCCCCAAATCCCACATGTGTCCATATCCCACATATCTCCAAATCCCAGATTCTAAATCCCACATATCCCCAAATCCCACATATCCCCAAATCCCACATATCCCCAAATCCCACATATCCAGAAATCCCACATATCTCCAAATCACACATGTGTCCATATCCCACATATCCCCAAATCTCATATGTGTCCATATCCCACATATTCTCAAATCCCATATCCCCAAATCCCACATGTCTTCATATCCCATATCCCCAAATCCCACATATCCCTAAATCCCACATGTCCTCATATCCCATATCCCCAAATCCCACATATCCTCAAATCCTCACTTCTCCAAATCCCATATCCCCAAATCCCATACCCCAAAACCTTCCTCTTGACATGTGTAGTCACAGTTCCTCAACAGTCCCCACATCGCCAATCGAAATTCATACCCCACCAAAATTCCCTTTCAGCCATATTTTATAGTATTCAATCTCAGACCTGAGTATGCACCATAACTCTCCCTCAACAAAGTACCCCACCACAATCGAACAATCCCATATCTCTGAATATCAATGCAACATCCACGGAGGCTACGACTGACAGTAAGTTTTCGGCCGACATTCACCGCTATATGGAACGATATGAAACGTACGAAATCGTTACAAAATCGTCTACAAACGACACATCCCACATACCCCATTATTCTCTACAACCTACTTCCTCGCAAGGTTTACGTGAGCTGATTATAATTCGTGTACATGCGACTCTAGAAAATCGTCATTGTCGGTTCTCCTTTAAAATACGTCATCGAAAATGAACGAACTCGCGCGAACGCTTTAAGGTAGATTTTTAAGAACACAATGTCGAACTTCAGTCCTGACGGACCATACATGGTACTTTGGTCAAACTCTTCACGTTCGATTGATCATCCGATCGGGAAGGATTTCCTTCTTCGACTCCACTCTTCACACGTCGATACCGAGCAGCTCTCTGCTATCGGTTCTCGAGAGTCGACGACGTAAACTACGACGACGGAACTCCTTCCATCAGACCGACGCACGTTTCATGCGGATACTGGCAGAAGTCGAAGGAGGTCTGTATCCTTGGTATCCTTGGTCCAAAAGCTCGGAACTGGCGGGTCCCAGACACGTACACGAACACACGCTCACGCAGTCGTCGCTGTCGTGCACGATCGGTACGTGGCCGGCTAGTAACTTTCCGTTTACGGCGACCACCTCGCCGTCTAGGGTCAAAACGTGGTGAGAAGCGGGCTGCAACTCGTTGTCGTCCCGACGTGCGTCTCCCGTGTTCCTTTTTTACAGAAAATTCAATTATTATTTACTGGTACATCTGCATTATAATCTAAGTAATGATGTAAGTAATGTACAGGGTGTCTCACAATTAGAGTGGGTCCCTGAAATGGAAAGGTAGCTGAAGTGATTCCGAATAAGATTTCCCTTTACAAAAATGCGGTTTGGTAGCTGAAGTGATTCCGAATAAGATTTCCCTTTACAAAAATGCGGTTTGAAGCTTCGTTTTTGAATTGTTAAGGAAAAACGCGGACCAATCAGAGCGCGAGGTTCTCTAACGCGTGGGTATCTAACACGTAGTTAACCAAGGCGTAGTAATCCAGTGCGTAATAATCCAACGCGTAGTAATCCAACGCGTAGTAATGCGACGCTTGGTAATCCTATGTGTTATAATCCAACGCATAGTAATCCAACGCGTAGTAGTCCAGCGTGTGGATATCCAACGCGTAGTAATCCAGCGCGTGCATATTCAACGCGTAGTGATCCAACGCGTAGGAATCTAACGCGTGGGTATCTAACACGTAGTTAACCAAGGCGTAGTAATCCAGTGCGTAATAATCCAACGCGTAGTAATCCAACGCGTAGTAATGCGACGCTTGGTAATCCTATGTGTTATAATCCAACGCATAGTAATCCAACGCGTAGTAGTCCAGCGTGTGGATATCCAACGCGTAGTAATCCAGCGCGTGAATATTCAACGCGTAGTGATCCAACGCGTAGGAATCTAACGCGTGGGTATCTAACACGTAGTTAACCAAGGCGTAGTAATCCAGTGCGTAATAATCCAACGCGTGGTAATCTAACGCGTGGTAATCTAACGCGTAATAATCCAGCGTGTGGATATCCAACACGTAGTGATCCAGCGCGTAGATATCTAACGCGTGGTAATCTAACGCGTACAATACGCGTGTGAGAGTATGAGGTATACTCACATCGTCATGAAACGAAGTACGAGCAAATTTATGCTGGCAGCAACAACGGCCAGACCAAATAGGATGAAGACTAAACTTAAGGCCACGTATCCTGGTTTGTTGGAAAGTGCATGGTCATTCTGCAAAGACGTATAAAACACCATATATACATAAAGTGATTTTATATATGTACATATGAAGTGTAGGAAGCATTGTAATTTTTAAAGCAAAAATGCATCATGTATATTGTAATTTTATATGCAATTATTTATTACGCATATTGCATTTTGATATCCAATTATACATTATGCATAATTTTATCTGCAATTGTTCGTTATTCATACTAAATTTTTATATGCAGTTATTCATGATGCATGTTACACTTGTATATGCAATTATGCATGGACATTTTTAAATGCAATTTATTATGCATATTGCACCAGAAAAAGTATTATGCAAAATCAAGATATATAATTAATAATAATATTTATTTGTCTAAAAATTGCATTATTAAATATTTTTTTTGAAAAGCATGTTTAAAATTTGATTAATCCTAAATTTCATTACTTAAAAGTTTCTCGGTTCAACATAATAATGATTCCAAGGGTAAATACCTGAAGAGCGACGTAATCACCGAAACCAATGGTGGTCAACGTCACGAAGCAGTAATAGAAGCTGTCAAAGTAGCTCCAACCCTCGTAACGCGAAAATACGGCAGCACCGGTAGTAATAATTATGCTAGACAACATCCCTGTAGCAAGCATCAGATTCATTTCCGTCGCTTCAGTTTTCTGGCAACGTAAATACGTTTTGGCTCTTTTGATCACCACCGATGCGAACTTGTTCAAACGTTCACCGATACTTTGGAACATGACCAAACCCAGAGGAATGCCGACCATGGCGTACGCCATGCAAAATGCTTTTCCTCCTATGGTTACTGGAGTCGAATGTCCGTATCCTGTAAATATTGATTAATTACTGACATTCTGTAAAACGTCGATTATTCAGACGTGAAAGTTTATTATGTTCACTTGGAAGTTTTAACAAAATTTGAAATATAGAGTATGTGATATTAGTATTCGATTATTATAAGTAATTCAATTTTGAGGTGTACATCAAAGCAAGGTGTAGAAAGGTTGATGGGTAAAGTATTGGAACTGACATACAGGATTCTGTTTCTGAATTATTTAGATGACATTTAGTTCAGACGTTCAGTAAGTAATATAACGAGTGGTTACGTTGGAATGTAGCAATTTGATGCTTGGGAATAACACATATGATGAATTAACGTACGAGAGTAACACGTATGATGGTGTGAGGCGTGGGAATACCGCGTGTGGGGATATAACGCTTATAGAATACAATGTGTAGGAATATAACTCGTGGGAATACAACGCTTGGCATATCAAGGCTTAGAGATTATAATACGTAGGAATACAACGCGTAGGAACACAGCCTTTGGGCACAAAACGCGTGCGATCTGCACGTGGAGAGATTACCGGGGGCAAGAACACAACGCGTAGAGATTACAACGCGTAGGAACACAACGCATAGAAATACAACTTGTGGGAACGCAACGCATAGAAATACAACTTGTGGGAATGCAACGCGTGGGATCTCAACGCGTAGAGAGTGCAACGCGCATGGGAATACAACGCGTGGGATCTCAACGCGTAGAGTGCAGCGCGCATGGGAACACAACGCGTGGGATCTCAACGCGTAGAGTGCAGCGCGCATGGGAACACAACGCGCGGGATCTCAACGCGTAGAGAGTGCAGCGCGCATGGGAACACACCACGTGGGATCTCAACGGGTAAAGAGTACAGCGCGCATGGGAACACAATGCGTGGGATCTCAACGCGTAGAGTGCAGCGCGCATGGGAACACAACACGTGGGATCTCAACGCGTAGAGAGTGCAACGCGCATGGGAATACAACGCGTGGGATCTCAACGCGTAGAGAGTGCAACGCGCATGGGAATACAACGCGTGGGATCTCAACGCGTAGAGAGCGCTGCGCGCATGGGAACACAACGCGCGGGATCTCAACGCGTAAAGAGTACAGCGCGCATGGGAACACAATGCGTGAGATCTCAATGCGTAAAGAGTGCAGCGCGCATGGAAACACAACGCGTGGGATCTCAACGCGTAGAGAGCGCTGCGCGCATGGGAACACAACGCGTGGGATCTCAACACATAGAGAGTGCAACGCGCATGGGAACACAGCGCGTGGGATCTCACCGCGTAGACAGTACAGTGCGCATTGGGACACAACGCGTGAGATCTCAACGCGGAGAAATTACGACGCATAAAAATACAACGCGCAGACACACAACGCGTGGAAATTGAACGTGTAGGAACACAATGCTTAAAGATTACAACCCGTAGGAATACAATGCGTAGAAGCACAACGCTTAGAAACACAACGCGTAGGAACTCAACGCATAGAGAGTACAACGCTTAGGAACACAACGCATAGGAACACAAAACTTAGAAATATCATATAGAACTGCAACGCAGAGAAATTCAACACATAAAGAATAAAAGACGTAGGAACACAACACATAAAAACACAACAAACGCAATACATAAAAACGCAACACGTGGCGATATAACACACAGAAACACAATGCCCAGCACAAAATAATTCCCTCCATAAATCTCCATAAATAAACCTTCAATCTTCCCCTACTTCCATAACTATTTCCAAGCTATTTAAATAGCAAGGCCACTTGGTATCGATTACATGTGATATATTTAACGTAACTAGTTGGCTAATGGTCTCTAAAACGCCATGTTGAATAAAACACTCAGATAAAAGGCAGAAAGAGCATTGTTTACCTATCATTGCGAGCACAAGCGTCGCGAAATAAAAGGCACCAGCGAATTTCCACTGTGGACCCGCTTTATGTGGCTTATTCTCAATGATAACGATCTCCAGCATCCTGTAATCTTCCTGCGTGATGTTATACTTCTTTATCATATTTCGCCGAACCTCTGAAATTAAATTCCACAATTTTTACAAATTTTGTGATGTTGAAAAATAAATTGGACTTGTGCTAAATTTTGGATGAGACTTTCATAGGTCCATGTTGTACTTTTTATGAAACACTTAGGCAAATGTATAAATATTTTTGGAAATCGTTACAGAAGACACATTAAAGTATACTAAGGTATATTTCGATGTAAGGAAATATACAAAATGACAGGTAGTTTCAGATGTTTTTGGACTTGTATCAAGCTTGCAGAGTGTGTCACAATGTTTACGAAACAGTAGACAACAAAAACACTGTGGAAATTGAAAAACTCGTCATGTCATGAAATTTTGTGACAGATGTTGTTGCTAACCAGTTGATCGCTATTAGACTATCACTAGATTATTAGATCCCTATGACATCGCTATTAGTTCGAATAGAAAACTATTAGTAGAAATGAGTACTCACCGGAGAGAAACTCCCAGCGTTTCCTCTCGGTATTCGACTCCAGTGCGTCGAAAACGGCGGCTCCGATCAGCAAGTAAGTAAACGTGCACACGACCAGGGACAAGGTCCTGACATTCTGCCTCTTCATCTTCGCGGGGTGCGGCAGCCACGTAAATCGTTGCCGAGAAATCGGTATCGGTCTCGTTCGTTCAGCCGCACGTACCGCCGATCACTTCCGTCAGATCACACGCGACGAGAGATCGGCGACATTTTCGCATGTCGGCAAATCGCGCTATCGATCGTTCGACGACATGGCACGGGAACGTTCGTGGAAAACGTACCGGACGCGTGTACGAAAAGCAGCAGGCAGACGCTTCGACGCTCGACGTCGTCGGCAACACCGGATGATGAAGTATTGATCCGACGCCGGGCGGCGGGATAAGCGCCATGGAAACGCGGCCGGTGGTTCCTGTGCGGTTCGACCAGCCTCGCTATCGGTAAGAAGACGCGTTGAAGATAAACGTGTCGCTGCTGATAAACGGTTTCGATGAAATTGTTGTGTGCTGATAACTGTTATCGGCTGATGCAAGTTTTTCGTGGTTGCATAGAATATCTGGAATTTAAGAAGATTTTCGTCTAGGGATATTTTGGGTTTGGGATATCATTTTCTGTGATTTTGTAGTTCTAGGGATATTTTGATGTTTGGGAACTTGAGGTCTAAAAATACTTAAATTTCAAGATTTTTAAATTTCAAAATTTTTAAATTTAGGAATTTGGAAATTGAAAGATTCAGAAGTCTGGGGAATTGGAAATTCCCTAGGAATCTAGGGAACTGGGGATCAAGAGAATCGACGATCTAGGGAATTTTAGGTTTATAGGAGATGGGATCTAGAAGATTTGGAATTTAGAGTGTGATGAGGATACCTGGAATCTAGGGATTTAGTGATCTGGAAAATTGGGGATCTAGGGAATTTTTAGTTCAGAAAATTTGCCAACCAGAGAACATGGAATCTAGGGAATTTATTATCGACTAAATTTTTCACCTTGAAAACTTAGAATCTGGGGAATCTGAATTCTAGGGATTCTGAGATCTAGGGAATTTGGGATTCAGGAGATCTGTGATCTAGGGAATTTGGAATTCAGGAGATCTGTGATCTAGGGAATTTGGAATCCGGGAAATCTACGATCTAGGGAATTTAATGCTTGGGGAATCTTGAATCTAGAGAGTTTTTAGTTTGAAAGCGCTGTAATATAAAAAATTTGAGATATAATGAATCTTGAATCTAGGGATTCTGACATCTAGGGAATTTTTAATCCAAGAGATCTGAGATCTAGGGAACTTAACGTGCAGGGAATCTTGAATCTAGAGAGTTTTTAGTTTGTAAACGCTGTATTATAAAAAACTTGAGATATAAGGAATCTTGAATCTAGGTATTCTGAGGTCTAGGGAATTTTTGATTCAGCAAAAAAATCTAGGGAATTCTTAACTTGAAAAATCTGCGATAAAACTTGAGATTGTAGAAATGAATCTAGGGATTCTGAAATATAGGTAATCTAAGGATTTAGAAGTATGTAAATATATCACACATTTGAAACCCACTTTTACAGTAAATATAAAAAAAATTTATTTCATCGTTTATCACTGGATTTTTAAGGAAAAATATTACATTTAAGAGGATTTATTCGAAGCTTTACCTCTTCACGTATTTTTACAAAATATTTTCTCTGCCAAAAATTTGCATAGTCTACGCGTTCTACCTTCCTGTGCGATGTACATATACAGGAAAAGCGTATACTCGTAAATTTAAAAAAGATTTATTTTAATTTATGAATACCTCTTATATTTTTATAGGTTATACGGTTTCGTCCATTCTTCGTAATTTATTCCGTTCCTTCGCGTAGACAGATTGCTTAATATTAGGTGACATTTAATTTTCTTTCGATCAATTTTAACTTGGCGAATATTTAACAGAATTTTGAAAGACAACATTGAATACCTACCGCAGAAACTTAATATCACTTTTTGAGTTTAGTTGTAAAATGAAAACCAAGGTTCGTTTAACTAATTGAACGATACAGAATCTTCAAACACCGTATAATTTACATAATAATCTCTCCTGCACGCTTTGTGTGGATGCACAAACATCTGACAAAGATCTGCTGATAACAAACATCATGAATATGTAAATGGTCGTTTTTGATAGGATACGAGATTGGTTGTCGATAAAGATGTTCTTCCAGCGGTACGCGTCGACGTACGATAACACGATAATAAACCGATAAGAATAAATCGATGTCTCTAACACCTACAACCTCTAATTAAGCAATAACCTTAAGCGTGGCGAAATAATCGTTCATTAATCTACATTAATCACGTTCGACTTCGGTACACAGGAGTTCGACGGAAGATCGATACCGCGGCGATGGGTAACTCGGGACGCAATTTACCGATTGAGAAGCTCGATACGGTATGATAATGTGCCCTTTGACCCTTTGAACACTCTGTCGTTTTCGCGGAACTTGTTACTCGAAAGTTTAGGTGTAACTTCCTAAACTGTCACTGACGGAGTTTATCGTGCTAGTGTATTACGAGTGTTCCAGTTTTACCAAGGAAGTTAGGATGCCCCGTCGCTGCTTATGCAATTATTTGCTGCTCTGCGCCCGGCTATTGTACACCTTGAACGATGTTTAATTGTTGTTGGAACCAACTTGCCTTATATTCTTACTGCGACTAATTGCGCAACTATCGGTCATGAAAGTTCTACGACTAATTCCTCCTGTTTCGCTTCGTCTTGCTCTGGGTCATCCGAAAGTTATTCATGGCGAATAATTTCTGGGTGATATTAAATTTGAGAGCAACGACGAAATACTTACTTTGTCAAACATTAGTCACTATTGTGTAACTATAAGTTCTGATCTGTAATTTTAACATGTGTTATATATGCAATTTTAGGGACAGTCAGATATTATAGTCATTTACAAATACAGCTTCTCATTCAAATTTTATGTTGAGATAAAGAATACATTGATGGGGAGCAAGGAACAAGTATGTGCAGCTGGCTAGACAAGTAGAGTGGGAATATAAGGTAGCCGAATGAGTAGTTATAGACAGTAGGTAGTCAGACAAGTGGAAGAGAAACAGTAAATGGTCAGACAAGTAGTAGAGGGACAGCAAGTGATAAGACAAGTTAAAGAGGGACAATAGGTGAACAGACAAGTAGTTTAGGGAGAGTATGTAATCAGACAAGTAAAGGAGGAATACGTAGTTAGTCAAGTAGTATAGGGACAGTAAGTGATTAGACAAGTAAAAGAGGAATACTTAGTCAGACAAGTAGAAAAAGAACAATAGGTGGTTAAACAAGTAGAATGGGAATAATAGCTAGTCAGACAAGTAGAATAAGAACAATAGGTGGTTAGACAAGTGCAATGAGAATAACAAGTAGTCAAACAAGTAGAATAAGAACAATAGGTTAGACAATTCAAATCTCAATCCTAAATAGTCAGAAAAATAGAATAGGTACAATCCACTATCAAATCAGTAAAATTAGTACAGTAAGTGGTCAGATAAGTAGTATCTCACCAACAGCTAATCAAGAAAATAAAATAGAGACAATCGACTATCAAATCAGTAAAATTACAATGGATAGTCAGACAAGCAAAACATGTTCAACTAAATTAATTCCAATAATTCGATTAAAAAGAATCCAACCTATATCTCATCACACAGAAAAAATACCAACACATAACCAGACAAGTAGAACGTACAATCCAACAGTCCAAGTACGATCCAAGACAAATAGAACTCCAGCGTTTAAATTTAAAATAGAACGGAACATCTTGCTCCGGAAAAGAAGGAACAAAAACACCGGAAGTCGTGTCGTATCTCCTGCAAGAGGTCTCAAAGGGAAGTTTTCTTCGCAATCGCGAAACAGCTTGTCCCAATGACGTCCAATTGTTGTCGGTCGCCGCGGCGTAAACGGATTTACGGACGTTCAATCTCAAAGCTAGAAGAGCGTTTCGTTTGAAGCCTGTGAAACTCTGTTCTCTTCTTGTTCAAGGTCACGCGGGTAACAGCTATTCGTCCCGACAGATTGCGCTCATTCAGACAAAATATTCGACTCGATGTGAGCGATTCGAAAAAATGTCAAGGTTCATGAAGTAACGCCTTCTTTCGTGAGGATGTTAAATCAAAAATTTAATAATGTACCGGATGCTGCAGCTGTCGTGCCGAAGAAAAAGAAAACACTATGTCACGGAATAAAGTTTACGAACTGGAGTCATCTTGGAGGAAAGTTCTTGATGAGAGCTTGCGTCGATAAGCGTAATATCGAAAGCGGTATCGAATAATATTTTTTGCGAGAGCAGTTGAATTGCAGATCGTTATAGTAGAGATATATTAAATTCTGCAAATTTTGGGATGTGAAAATCTAGGGATATAAGGAATATAAAATGTTGAAATTTGAAGTCATAGAAGTCCGAAAATCTAAATCTCTGAAAATGCAAAAAAACGAGATATGAACATAGGGATATAACGATATAAAGAAAACTATAAAAAAATTTCAACGCGAAAAACTTCACAAGATAACAATTGCGTGCTCCAAAGAAATCAAAAGCGTAAAAGTTGAAAGAAGAAACTGCATTTTCCCGTCCGATAACTTTTATCATTTTACATTACAGACTTGCAGATAACTCGATTTATAATTCGATGTGGAATTTAAAAAGTGCTTTCCCAAGCTGCAGCCTCTTTACGCGCAGCGAGCTTTTAATGTAACGCAATCAGTTTCGAGCTCAATCGCCGCAACGAAGGCCGTTCCACATTTAACCGATAGTAACGCGATAGGTTAAAAAATGTTTAAACACGAGAACGTCACTGACAACCGTGAAATTCGTGTCGGGAAAAATGCTCGTTTGTTACGGAAAATCCTGCGCCCGTAGCCGGAAACATAGACAAGATTTTACGTTCCGTTGGCTGCTCGCGGACGGATTCAATCGCGATTGATAAACGGGAGCGGTCACGCGGGCGATTGAAAAATTATTAAAATAAATCGATCGTTGAAACCCTTTTCGCCTCGTGTACGCGTGAGGACTTCGCCAAAAATATTTGAAAAATTTCCACACGATCGGACTCGTTCGCGCCCGGTTACTGCAATAAAAAGTTCTGGAATTTCGTGCACCGAACTTTCTGTTTCGGCCAAGCTTCCGGCAAACAAAATTTGCAAATTAAATGAAGGGAATCGTGGGAAAACTATTCTGCGCTGAAATCCTTTGTAGGAGATCAACGAACACTCTTGGGTTCCCAGTGTTATTTAATGTTTTATGGAGGTG